AAACATCCAAGCCTCCCGTTTCGACAAATTCCGCTCATGGCTGAATCAAGTCTCGGAATCAAAAAATGGTATTCTCTGGTTAACTCGGAGCTCTCAGTTGAGTTGCGAGCACCCTAGATGGGGGCAAACACCTGGAGCCATGCGTTCAATTCAGAAAGAAATGGGAATTGATTTGGCAATCTGTGAAGTCGACCGGTTAACGAATGTGAGTTGGAAAGCGATTACACAGATTGCGGAAAGGTTCTCTGGTCGCCATTTATCGAGCTACGATTTGGAATTGGAGTACGCTATTGAGAATGGCAAGATATATATACCACGGTTGTATCCTTTGCTCGTCAACTCAGAACTTCGGGAACCCGCTCATTCTGCGACTCCAGTGACCCGGAGAGAGGAAGACAAGCGTAATCTAACACTGGGGACAGCGGGCAGGCTGGACACGCTCCAGTGGACTGATGTCCCATGCGAAAGACCCATTGAAAACCAGGTTGTGGTCGAAATCATGGCGACAGGTCTCAATTTCAAGGTAAAGCTCAAGCATCTGCATCTCCAATGGCCGGGAACCCACAGAGAGCTAACCATCGTAGGATCTGCTGACCGCTATGGATCTCATCGAAGCACCGCGCCAAGTCCTCGGATTGGAAGCGGCAGGAATCATTCGAGAAATCGGATCAGAAGTTGGCGATTTCCAAATAGGGGACCGTGTCGTTATCATGGGCAATACAGGTTTGTTCACAACAAAAGCGGTCGTACCCAGCATGACTTGCTGGAAACTCCCCAATTCTCTCTCTTTTCAAGAAGCCGCAACTATGCCTTGTGTATTCTTGACCGCCATCTATGGACTGCTCGATATCGGTCAGATGAGTGCTGGGCACACTGTTCTGATTCATTCTGCATGTGGTGGAGTCGGCATCGCGGCTATCCAGCTATGTCGCATGGTAGGGGCAACGATCTACTGTACCGTCAGTACCGAAGAGAAGGTCAAATTTCTAGAAAACGAATTTGGTATACCACGCAACCATATTTTCGACTCACGCAGTCGGTCTTTCGTGGCTGATGTTATGCGCGCCACCGATGGCGCTGGAGTGGACCTTGTCCTTAACTCGCTTTCAGGTGAACTTCTCCATGCATCTTGGGAATGTGTGGCGAAACTCGGCAAGTTGATCGAAATCGGGAAACGAGACTTATTAGCAAATGGTCGAATATCTCTGAGTCCTTTTGCTGAGAATCGGAGCTTTCATGGCATTGAACTCTCTCTTCTCTTCGAAAATCGACCCACGGAGTGTCGAAGGCTTTTAAAGAAGATGATAGATTTTTACGAAGCGGGCCACATCAAACCCATCTTTCCCATAAAGTCCTTTCCAATGGCCGAAGTGGAGCAATGCTTTAGGTACATGCAACAAGGTCGACATATCGGCAAGGTTATCATGTCTGTAGGTGATCCGTCGGATCAGCCCACTGAACCGAAAGAACCAATCACACAAAATCCCAAGCGCAGTCCGAAGTTCAATCCACAAGCATCGTATTTGCTTGCCGGTGGCCTTGGTGGCCTAGGCCGTGTTGTGGCCAATTGGATGGTTGAGCATGGCGCACGACACCTGATATTTCTTTCTCGAAATGCAGGAGAAAGGGAAACCGACAAAGCATTCTTGGAAGAACTCGAGTACCAAGGATGCAAAGCGATGGCAGTGAAGGGGAGCGTTGCTATTTCCAAAGACGTGGAGAAGGCTATTGCTGCTGCAACTGCTCCTCTGCGTGGTGTGATGAACATTTGCATGGAATTGCAGGATATGGGATTCCGCGAGATGACCCATGAGGCATGGAGCACTGTCAACGAGTCGAAAATCAATGGCACATGGAATATGCACAACGTGTGCATGTCCAGAGAGATAAGTCTTGACTTCTTCCTTCTCTTCAGCTCGGTCACGGGTGTGTTTGGCAACTTTGGCCAAGCAAACTACGCAGCGGCGAACACCTTCCTCGACACTTTTGTACTTTATCGACATTCCTTGGGCCTGAACGCTTCTGCTGTTGACATCGGTATGATGTACGACCACGGATATATCGCAGAGAATCCGCTACTTGCGGAACGAATGCGGTTGCTTGGTTCGTATGGTATCGGAATACCACAGCTCTTGGATGCAATCACGCTCATTCTAAGCACCCCTAGAGCCAAGCTGAACAAAGTTACATCACGGACATGCTCTTCTCTATTGGGCATTGGTGTTCGCAGCGGGCTATCGCTGTCTGATCCTTCGAATCGCGTATTTTGGAAACACGACCGGCGAATGTCATATTACGTCAACCTCGAATCATCGGCGCACGTAGCTTCTGGTGCAGCCTCCAACGAGGATGAACCCACGCGGGTCATCAGAGACTTCACGCAGCAAGTTCTTGCTGAGCCAAAACTTGTCGACCAGCTCGATACCCCGGTTTTCCTCGCGCGACAGATTGCAAGAAAAATCGCGCTCATGCTCCTTCGACCCCTTGATGACAAGGAAGACAGCGAGGTTGATATATTGAGCCCGTTGCAGGATGCTGGCCTGGATAGCTTGGTTGCTATAGAGATGCGGAGGTGGTGGAGGACGACATTTGGCTTCGACATTACCATGCTCCAGATGATTGGAGCTGAGAACATGTTGGCACTTGGTGATCGGGCTGTTGAAGGACTGAGAACTAAGTACGCAGAAGTTGAAGAACAACCAGTAACCCTGACACCTGCTGTCACTGTATCGGCTTGATTTGGGGTTCGGGAGGGCCTTGGGGCCATAGTATGCACTAGGACAAATACCTGGACGGGAAGTTGGTCGAGAAAATGTCGCACCGCCCCCTATGTGCCGTTGATCAGAGGTTCCCTCGCTTATTCTCACTTTTCAGGCTGCCCATGTTTGTATACCATTTTGAAATCTGCCTTTATCCGTTAGATTAGTATTATCTAGCCCCATATACCCTCGCGATAAGCGTCGCAGAACCATAGTAGACAAGTTCTTTTAATGATTTTCAACATTTGCCGTCTCATTCTCAGATTTCAACGAATAGATGCAGCATAGCCTAGAACGTGTCTTAAAAAAAACGTCATATATTTTTGCCACCCCTGCTCCTAACAGGAAGGTAGAGCACGGCTGCGAATAAGTCTTACAATCCAACATCGCCTTTCTCTCTGATAAATGAATTCAGGATGCAGGTGCCGATAAGGCTACTACACTCGTCGATCGATTAAGGCAGTGGAGCAGTTTGGGGGCTATCTTGGGTAGAACTAGTGCTTAGCCAAGCTTCCTTCAGTTACTTGTAAGAGGAAAGGTTTTTGTTAGGCCCCAATGTCGGTTAGCAGTTAGGTGTCAGCCCTGCACGTGACTTTCGTAGTCACTCTCAATCTTATACCCCCAACACTCTAGTCAAGGATTTTTCGTAGGATGACGGCTCTCTCTTTTTTCACAATGTCTTTCAAGTACACTGGAGATTTTCCGATGCTTCTCAAGCGCGCTGGGAAACTTTTGAGAGTATTGTATCTCATTGAGAGATCTGATATTCCTGCTGTCTCTATACCAACAGTAAGATTTTGCATGGATGATAAGCTATCGACGCTGATCAGAGAACAGGTTGTCGTGGCACTTGCGATTTCAGGGGTGCCCAGTGTGCCCTTGTTTATCAAGGGAGTAGTTTGGTGTCAACTGCATCTGTTGGCTTTTGAAGTATGTGCACGAAGTTCATGCTCCGCTCTGAAGCACATTATACTAATATGCGAATAGACAAAGAATCAGGTGATTTGGACTAGACTTTGCAAGGTTGGGTAGCTGGTACTAATGCAGTGAATAAGATTGTCGGTCTTGAAGAAGATCGCATTGCAAAACCGCATCGCCCACTTCCCTCTGGCCTCATCTCGTTGGAAGAGGCCCACATACTTTACCGCTGCCTGTTAGTATGCATGTGGATCGCGGCTTTCCATTGCAACACTCTTGTTTGCACCATTGCATATACAGCCGCCATCACGATTTACAATGAAGGCGGATTTGCTGCTTTTGCCAGTTTGAAGAGTGTCATTGGGGCTTTCGGCCTGATGTGCAAGTGTTGGGGAACCACAGTTACTTTTGGTGAGTGCGCAATCTATACAGATTGTCCACCCAAGACTATACTAACATGCGACAGCCAACGGGGAAGATTTGCATGGCAAGAAAGCCCTGGCGATTCTCATTTTCGGTCTCATTTTTTCAACTACTGTATGTCCTTGAGCAGCGAGCAAGTGAAAGCTAAATTGATTTTCTCCGTGATAGGGGCACGCACAGGATTTCCGTGACCGGTCAGCAGATGCAGTCATGGGGAGAAAGACGATACCGTTGGTGCTTTCTCAACCCATAGCCAGGTGGTCGCTTGCTGTCTTGATTGCGGCGTGGACAGCAGGGCTGATTATTTTTTGGCAACCTCCCATGGTTGTCAGTATCGCCTTTACCATTCTTGGGCTTCGAACATTAGGCGGCTACCTAAGGAGTTATGAAGAGAAAGACGATTCCGTGTCGTATGTTTACTACGGGGTAAGATTGTTCTTCGAGGCTAAAACAGCGAAGAAATACTAAGATAGTTGCAACAGATCTGGCTGCTGGGTAGCAACATCCTGCCCTTCTTTCCTCGAATGAGGGGAGAATTTAATTGAATAAGCTTGGTGCATGAAATGAGTTAGATAGATGATAGACCAAGAGTAGGAGGAGGTCAGGGGAGTGGCAAAGGGAGTACAATAAGATGGGTCGAGAGTAAACATTTGCGGTACCAGGAAGAGGTTCATTCTTAGCCTCTATGGACATGGTCGAGGACGAGCTTAGAATTATCCTGGTTCAGTTTTGGTATCAGTGATGGTCATGAGTCAGGATAGGACAGTGTAATGCGCTAGCTTGACTAGTGGGATACCGTCCGAGCTCCCCGCAGACGATGACAGCATAGATTATTGCTCGAATCATAAACTTTGACCTGCAACAGCACAGAGCGTTACCACGTCAATTGCATACCCAAACATGGAGCCAACCATATCCAGGTGTATCCGTACTTTTTCACGACTCTCGATACAAATACCATGTCGTTCAAATGTGGCGAGATGCAGGCCATCGCCATTTACACGCTCATGTCATGCACAACGGCTGCACACGACGCGCCCTGCCCTTGCCCAATCCCGAGCCCCAAAGACACGCGATCGAGGGCCGAAAAGCAATGAGGATACTCAGACAGACTTCAGTGCTCTGGATTTGCTTCGAAACACCGCGGCTCCTGCCACCTCCATCGACGCATGTACAGGTGATGGCTTCGCACTCAACAACCAAATGCGCATCAGCGGCAGCGGCATCTTACTTGTGGGCGGCGAGGCATTCCGATGGCGGCCGTGGCTACATGAACAACGAAAAGAAGGCACAGTAGGAGAAGGGGGTTCGGGCGAAGATGCAATGACGGGCAAATTGCTGAATGCCAAGAGACAGTGGGAGGTGCCAGAGCAGGTGTGGGGTGTGTTGGAGCTGGTATATCCTAAGCCTGGTATGCGGCAATACGGCTTTTTAGTTTTCCAAAGACATTGCCCAGCTAACAGTACCTTGACAGATCTTCTCATCATCGGAACAGGCCCTAACACCACGCCCATCGCGCCTGCGGTTCGCAAGTATCTGAACGGCCTAGGCATTCGACTCGAGATTCAGGACACGAGGAATGCAGCTGCACAATTCAATCTTCTCGCGACGGAGCGCGGAGTTGGACAGGTCGCGGCAGCGTTGATACCGATCGGGTGGAGAGAAGGGCGTTGAGAAGGAGACTAGCCAGCGAATAAAATGGCCCTAGAAGAACACAACAAGAGGTGTTCAAGGGCACAAGCTGGCAGTGGCGGTGAACACGTATGAGTGAGTAGGCACATCTCATCTGCACTCTTGTCGTTTAACCTTCGATTCTACGTGCTGCCACTGCTTTGTATATTTTTCAATCCTTTGTTCCTGGCTGCAAGCAGGCCTTTACATACGACACCACTCTATCCTTCGTTTTGCCAACCTTCATACCTGCACAAGTCCCTTTCGTTTCCCTAAAGTCATTCAAGTTTCCCTTATTTTCTTTCGACGGCAAACGCGCTCGTCATCAAAGGGCAAAGTGACCCACCAGTACCGGTCCCAGCACCCCTCTGCCTGCCTCATCTCTTTGTCCAACCAGTATCTCTTTGGTTACTAGCATCTCACAACGGCACAGGCATATGTGTCTCGACCATCTTGTTCATAGGCCATCAGCTATATTCGCGGTCCTTCTCCGTCTGGCTGCCCGAATCTTCCAGAACACGTTCAATGCCGGTACAAGGTGGGGTTTCGGCACACGATTTGAGGTGGGAAACAGGGAAGCCGTCATGGACACCACGCCTTTACTTAAGCAAGACCACTCTAGCGCCTATCAACCCCATCGCGACATGAACCACCTCACCACCCCGCATACACCACCAGCCTTATCAAATCTTCATAATCCGCCGCTTCCGCTTTCACCCAACGTCAGCTCCAGACACTTGGCCCTCGCATCCCTGCAATCGGGCACCTTAACCCTGGAGTCTTCCCTAGCTTGTATGCAAATTTCAGAATCAGGCAATAGTTCACACAACATGAGAATATCTTGTACCGAGAGGCAGTCGCTACATGCCATACTTTCGCCCGTGCGCGAGGATTTGCAAAAGCTCAAAACATTGACGCCCGAAAGTCTGCCACCTTACAGTCCACGCGTTCGAGCCAAGAGCCATGCTCAGATCCTTAAGCACAAGCTTCTGCCCATCGGTCAATTTATTGTCAACTATCTCGATCGTGTACCGGAACAAGGTCGAGGGGCCCTGGAGCTGAAGTTATGTCGCGTCATCACGACGGAGTACTGGCCGTTGCCTGTTGACGACTTCACTCATTTGAAGGTCCAGGAAATGTATCGAAATGCCCTCTTCAAGATTGGTCAGCACAGTACAGTTATTCCACCATCGGAGCATTATCCAACGAATTCACTGCCTAGCCATTCACTTGCCAAATCATCTTCTCCTACAAATACACTGTCTTTCAGCTCAGCCAACAATACAGAGATGGATACTGGCGGTGGCAGGTCTCCAGACCAAATGCACCAGCTCGACTAGGGGACCGATTCAGACATTGCCACAGTGAATATACAAGCCAACGTGAGCTTGGTGGGGAAACGCTGGTTACTCGTGGTGTGGTCCATTCCACTTTTGGAAAAAGTGATCATGTTCTACTTGGTAGCGTAGTATACTATATTGCCACTCATCAATAGCTGGGAACGCGGAAGAGCTCTTTCCAGCAGAGTGGAGCAAGTACTTTTGCAGAAGGCTGCTGATATCTGAGTTTGATTCGAAGAGAATGGCATATTCAATGTCATAAATGCTCATGTGTTTTAAACAATTCCAATCATTCCAGTATTCTTTATTTGTGGCTGTCCATTTCAAAAGCTTCAATTTGCACGCTACCTCTTCACAGATCACTTTCAACATTACCTTTCTCTCAACAGGCAGCGACGGAATAAATCAGAGAAGTGCAGGATAGCATAGATGTCAGTGAGTAGAGTGCTGTGGAACTGTGCTTAGGTCGGAATTTCTTGATTGCAATACTACCAATTTCCATAAGATACCAGTTAGAAAATCGCAGCCTACCGCACACCGAGCGCCTCATAAATCGCCACCAGCAACTTCCTCATCCGGTAGTTTCCCATGCCCTTCTTTTCTCCCTTCTCGTTTGGTCCCAACCCCGCATTCGCCATCTTGTTCATGACATATCCAATTGTAACCTTCCTCTCCGCATCCGCAATGCCCTGGCTACCGCCCCAACCGCCCCAACTCGCGACTCTGCCCTCTGGCAGATTCTCGTTCATCGAGCCCGCAGCAGGCAGTGCGAAACCAAGACCGAATCGCACCGGGATGCTGACGACGAGATCGGCGCCGTGCTGTTGGGTGGTGAAAATCTTGTCCATGGTGGCTTGTGACAAAAACGACGATGGGTTCTCAGGCGCAGACAGGGAAATAGCGGATAGGATGCGGACGAGAGCGCGGGCATTGGAATATCCGTTTGAGGCCGGTAGCACGGATTTCCGCCACAACTCTTTGTTTGCCATCGTTGCGTCCATGCCAGGGTTCTTGAGCAGCGTCCGAAAGGCGATGCTGTTTGGATCTTTCATCGCCGCAGCCACGCTGGTTAGATCCGTGATTGGCGGCGGTGGCACAATTTCCGCTACCCTATCCCAGTCTTTTTCCTGCGCACCAAACTGAAAATCTGCATCGAGCGGGGTGGTGATTTCGCGTTTAACGAATTCGTCGATGGGGAGGTGCGTGACTTTTTGGATCAAACCCGCGATGAGGTGGCCCATGGTGTAGGCGTGATAGCCACTTGCAGTGCCGGGCTCCCACCACGGCGCCTGTTGGGCCAACAGGTTTGTGCTCCTTTCCAAATCACATATATCTTCAAACGTGACGTTTTCGTGCCAGCCGCTCAGCCCCGTCGCATGGCTCAGTAAATGCCGCACCAAGACTCCTTCTTTCCCATTTGCCGCAAACTCGGGCCAGTACTTTGATATCTTTTCGTTTGGATCCACGAGTCCGCGGTCGATGCAGAGGAGAAGGGCAAGGGCGGCGACAAGTTTTGAACTTGACCATACGCATGTGATTGTGTCTTTTTCCCAGGGCTTGGTTCGCGCGACGTCAGCGTAGCCGCCCCAGAGGTCAATCACATCAGTACCGTCGATGTTAACGCAGAGGGAAACCCCTAGTTCTTCCTCGGTGTCGAGATATGATTGTAAGAGTGATTTTACTTTGGTAAAGCGTGGATCGCAAGTTCCGTGGACTTGGGCTGCCATTGTGCAATATTGAATCAAGTGATGAGCTAGTTCAAAAAAAATAAAAAGAGACCTTGCTGACGACTTCTTCGCCGTGCCTGCTACCCTTGCAGTTGTGAGTTGAAAATAATCCAGAAGCAAATGAGCTACTGCACATATATATATACTTGTTGTTTTCCCCAAAATGCAGCCAAGCGGGGTTCCGCCAGCGGTATTCCGCGGCTTTCGATGCTGCCAACCCGCTCCAGGTCAGCTCATGGAATTCATTCCGTAATCTAAACTCAGCCACTGAACTCAGCCATCTAGTATCGGATAAGAATACGAACTGCTGTTGTAGTCCTCCTTGTTTTCTTACTACACCCTACCTGCAACTCGTCGGTATACTACGCCTCAACCTTTAAAAACAAACCAGTTCGGTCATCACAAGGATGCATTATATCAGTGCAAGTCGTGAATAGTTTCTATTCAAGATTAATGCTCCTGGTTTTATCATACTTTTGGGTGCCGTCAGCTTTCGTAGAGCTACTGGCAGACCTGTACAGAGCCCGTGTTTCGAGTACCTTCCACGTCTCGCTTCCCGTATTTGCACCAATAATCCAATTGCTGGGACGTTACTCGGATATTTCCTGTACAACATCACAGATGCCATCAAGGCGACGGATCTAGCTTCTTGGTTCCCATATTTGCTATCGCGTTAAGGCCTGTGCCGGCAGAAAACTACACTAGAAATAGTGTAACAGTAAGACAGAATGGTGCCTGGCTGAGTACTTGCGATATCGTAATCCTCTTCCCAACACCTCCCATAGGGTCGAGGGCCTAAAATTCGATATACTAATATCTCCATGTAACGAGTATTATAGAAGTAAAATGATTACATGAAAAGAATTTAAGATCAAAATATCTGCAGGAATTAATATACGAGGCTGAGAAGTAGGGGCGGTTGGCTAAGACCATATTCGGCATTTCCGGTGAAGAGGCACCAAGCAGGCTGCATACCCTGCAGATCATGGTTGGTTCAAATTACAAACTGCTTCGGGAGAAAGTACAAAACGAGATAAGAAAGTCAGTCAGCCTGCATATTTCGCTACGTAAGTGGCTGGATCCTTCCCTGAAGCTCGTTTCCAGATCATGTGATTACCGCCCCACGATGGTTAGTAACTTCCGATGTGCACGGGTATTGAACCTTCACTGCTTATCCTTAGATAGGGAAAGAGTCCTTCTTGTAACTCGTAGCACTTTCTTAGTTAAGAGTACTGCCTCATAGCACGATAGTGAGCCCTATTTAGGCTTATCGCGACTCTCTTTGTCCTATCGCCATTATGTCGCACACGGCGCAAACTGAGAAAGGACAAGACGCAAAAACTAGGGCTTACTCCATTCTTCCTGTTAATAGCTGCGTGCAGCCCATGGAAGATGGATAGAATCCACTGGATTACAACGCTCCGCCAGGGTGGCCCAGAGAACCCCAGCCGCTCGTCAGGAGCAACCTTGTCGTCTGGGGCAAACTAGCTCTCTTGGTTTTACCTGTGATGTTTCTGGGTATGTCTACGTACATGTCTCTTATGACTTTCAAATCAAGGCTCATTTTCTCTAAGCATTGGCATCGATCGCGCACACCTTCCACGAGAAACATGTCTCATCGGATGGAGCCACACTACAGCGTGTCATGCTTCTTGGTCCTACCCTTTTCCCTCTGGCCTTCATTGCACTTGGCGGTCGTAGCTTGAAGAATACTGCGCTTTGGAAGGCTCAGCGAGGCTCAACTATTGGAGTAGGCGACAGAACTATTTCTTGCGATACTATTTATTAACATGCGGCAAGTGCTTGAAAGTTTACATGGAAGCCAGAGTTTCGTCAGCGCTATCTGTCTTGCTATATCCCTCCGATCGTGGAGCGTACTATCATTCGCCATACTTCTACTATGGTCTCTCTCACCACTTGGTGGTCAGAGCTCATTGTGTCTCTTACACGAAGCCAACTCCACGGTTGTGACATCATGACCAGTGTACTATCCCGACCCAGGCGCATACAGCTCTCTGGCCTCTCTAGGATCTGCACATTACTTGAATCAAATGAGAGCTATCATCTCGACTAGCATATCAACCACGGACACGCTCCAAAATAGCCCTGTAGACATTTGGAATCATCCCGAGATCCCGCGACTTCGGCAACTGGAACAAGCTGACTTGAGTCACGATTCGCAAGATCAATGGATCGATGTTAACGAGGACACAACTGCATATACGTCTTTGACCGGTCTAAGTGTACTAGGTTTACACGCTAATAGCATCGTAATCTTTTCGGTTATCCACGAATGTAGATGAACAGAGATCTTAGCTTGTATAGACTATCTCTTAATTAGCTAGATACATAATATCTGCCTTTCAAATTAGTACAGAAGCTCTAATAAGACGAATATAAAGAAAAGGCTTCTATAGTATAAAACTTAAAGAACTTCTTATAAGAAGTCGCTTTATTAATAGAAATCTAATTTAACACTAAACTGGATTTGGATATTATAGATTTTCCTTTCTATTTGTAGAGAAAGAGAGATTTAAATTTTCAATCTTATAAATTTCTTAGCATCGCAGTAAGAGAGTTTTTTAAGGTCTTCAAGAAAACACACCGCCCTAACCTCTTCTTCTCATTGATAAAGATAAGAAAATTATAGATATTTAGCTCTAGATACTACGATTTAGTATATTATACCCTTCCAGAGAGAACGTAGTAGCTTAGGTGGAGCTGAGCTGGGTGTCGTCACAACCTATCCGAGCGACACTCAGATCAACGAGCCAGCACATTTCTCCAATTTGCACGCAGATATAAGCCCTTTACTAGATACAACTTTATTGCACATGTCATTGCTCTTGACACAGCGCCCCCTTGATCCTGACTGCTGACATGCTGTGGCTTGGCTGAAGTGGTTACACCTGCGGCTTTTGCAAAGACTGTGCCACTACGCTCCAATACAATCGCAATCCGATGCGTTACACTTATGTGGAGACATACATTGAGTATATTTCCCATAATCGCATATTTGGCATACCCCAGTATGGCAATCCTAGGGCAATTAGAATCTAGACAAAGTAGAAAGAAGGCTGATTGTTCTTACCTTGCCCGAATTGCAGGTACGAGCTCGTGGGATTAAACCCGCGTCGTGACGTCCGGTAAGGCCCGCCTCAACGTGGGTCATTGAGAGAAGAATTACACATAGGTGTTGGAAAACGTAGGTAAGCTTCATATTGGTAATATGGCGAGGGGGGGGGAATTGGGCTAGGTAGTCAACGATAGTCCGGTATAAAACACGTCAACTATGCGGCGCTGCGCTTTTAAATAATAGATCACTGGAGGATATTAAGCCGTCTAAGGGGCTATTTTAGTGTCAAATTATGAGTGGGAAGTTTAATCTAATTGCATCCATGAGTGAGCATCGTATATATGTTTGATGCTGACGCGTCTTATTTCCCGTCACGGAAGAATAAAGCTTTCGCGAGGAACGCTAACTGAGTAGAGAGGAAACTCTAAGCAATGACTGGCTGGGGGGACGGCTGATACGAGCTTACTGTGCTGTATGATAGAATTCATGCGTATGTGCCACTAGTAAGGGGGACGATACAGGCCAGGGTTGAGAGTAAGCGCTACTATAGAGAGTATGATCTACACTCTACACACAGTAGAGTCATGAATATTCAGGATTTCTCTGGGATGAATTTGGTATAATCATCCGAAGAAGTGCCTGTCTTCAATTTAGCACGTCTTAACACACATAACTTGTGCAATGTCCACAGTAGAAATAGGGTGTCACGAGATTCGACCCCAGAGGACGACCCTCGGGACGGTCCGGTACCGACCACAGCTGTAGAAGTATATAATACCTACGAACTACAAGGACACTCCTTAAGGACTCATCTTAATCCTACTCTTTAGATATATTCTGTGCCTACTCGCGAAACATCTCATATAGGGGGGGGCTCTGCCTTTGAAGGCGACTTCTTCTAAGTCAGCACCTCTTGCCACTAAAAATTGTCGCACCCACAATTAGAACGTATCTTTGATAAGGTAGTTACCCACGCTACGTAGTGGGCGCAATGTATGCATAAACGGCAATATTCTTCATAGTAACTGTGGAGCTTCTGGTGCCAGTCTACCATGCAACACAGCCTGCAAAAAGAAAAATAGCTACAAAAAAGACTTTGTGGTCAGGATGGGATTGAGAAATGTTTACTACCATCATTTCCACTGGTTCTTATACATTTTGGTAACGACAGTCTTGTGTTTACATAAGAATCTACACTGAGAGTGTAAGAGAAAGATATTCCTTCGCGTCGCGGTAGCTCTCTATTCGAGGTGAAGAGCTAATCACGTTTAGAGCTTGGTCTTGACCCAAGCACCTGCTTCGGTAGAGAAAACATTGAAGTAGCTGGTATGCGCGCTGGGGTCACGGCCTCCAGCACACACATTGTCGCCGGATAGACACCAGGCGCGTAGCACGTTGGAGAAGCGGTTGAGCGAGGTGAGCTGGGTGCCTGTGCGGGGGTTGATCTGTACGCATGTACCTTAGCGAGTGTGTTTTAAAGGGGGTATCTATATGCTATTGCTTGATAGATGACAGAGTGGTCTACTTACGCCGTTAAAGGCGGCACCGGATGCAGAGTTGTATGATTGGTTCGCCGTGTGACGGACGTCACCCCAAAGAAGCGCAGCGCGGACTGCGTGATAAGTTCTCGTTAGCCGACTAGTTCTGGATTATAGGGTTTAGAAAGCTCACTCTTGTTTCCGGGCGAAGTGGAAGGGTTTAGACCGGTGGTAGTAGGGCTGGAGCATCCCAAGCCTGTGTTACCTCCGCCGCCGCCGAGGATATCGCCTACAACTTGAGCACCCTAGATGAAAGATCAAGGTCAGTACTATCATCGCCTTGCTGAATTCAAAGTTACCAGGCCAGGCCAATTGCTAGGTCAGGCACGGTAACCATTGCTTCAAAGTCAAACTAGCCGCCCGGTTGCTTATTACTGCTTGTGAAAAAAAGCCACATACCTGCGAGTACCCAGTAAGAACCAACTTCGCATTTGGGCAACGGCTCGCGTAAGCCGTGATCTGGGCAGTTCCGCCAGTAACGCCAGCTGACACTGAGCTGCAGTACGTTGGGCTGGTGCTGGCTGGGTAGGTGATGTCCTCGTAACCGCAGTTGCTGATACCATTGCAAATGGCTGACACCACAGAACTCTGACGGCCGGGGTACGGCTCGCTGGTGCCACGGGCAAGGAAGACGTGTACGCTATGGCAGGCGGTCTGGCGCTCCTCGACCTTGACCGCCGGGGCAGCAAGTGCAAGGGAGAGAAGGCCGTAAGTAGCGAGGATAGTCGAGGTAAGCATCTTGTCTAAGATGGGGAAAGGGCTTTCCTTGGTTGATGGCGAGTTCTGGGAGTGCAAAGAGTTGAGTCGAATTGAGTTCGTCACAGAATTCGATGCTGTTGACGTGGAGACAGATGGGGATTTATTTATACCATATTTCGTCCGAACATAGTCACCTCTTCTAATCATGAAGGTAACTGCCGACTGCTTCTAGTCCTGAACACAACTGCCGTTTTCTTAATGTCTTGAGTTATTACCTCTCGGACGTAAGGCTATATGGTGGTTGCATTTAGAGCGCGCTTAGAGAGATGAAAAGAGAAGTTGGGTAATGCAACCTAGCGTATTAGGCAGCACCGCAGTATTGGCGCTCTTACCGATAATGAGGTTAGCCAGTTGACCTTGGGCCTGGGAACGAAACGCATGAGTATTGTAAAGTAGCCAGGCTCCCTGAGGGAGGGTGTGGTCCCACTCCTAGGTTGTGGGTACCCAGGGGTAGTGCCTGAGCAGAGGTACAGTTGCGAGGTAAGACTCGCTCTTTTCCAAGTACCATGCTTCGTTGAAGCCCGTATGGATTCATCAAGATGACTGGAGGAACTTGAGGCGTAATTGAACGAATCATTCTTCACTGGCGGGAATACACGAAGAACAGAGCACGAAACAGCGTGTTGACAACAGCAATTCGAATGGCCGGCAGTCGAAATAGGCTCGCGTACGTACCAGCAGCTGGGTATGGTGACACTAGCTTCGATTAGGTATGTGAACCTACGAACTTCCGTAATTGGCGAGCATGCACGTCATCGTCCAATCCTAAGATTGACCTCGCGTCGATCTCTGGGTCTAATCCAGGCTCCATCCCCGGGGTCTGGTCACAGGTTTACCCGAAGTTTTACCCCAAGTACGTACAAACGCGAGGCTTTACCGAGGTTTGTCAATAACCCCAGATTTTCCCCTCAATGCATTTAATCATGAAACTTCGCTTTCGACAAAGTTTTTTCGCACGTGTTAGGCTTGCTGGCTCCAATGTGCCCCTCACTTTTATTCTCTGTAATTAACAAAACGGCTTGAGGGGAAACTGTTCAAGAGGGGGAGGAAATGCTTTTCCGGCCTCATCTAATCGTCAGCACAGATGGGTCGATCGGTTTCTCCGCTTCTTCCGTTTCCACATCCTCAGGGACGTTTGAAACCGAATCATACAGAAAATGGTGTTATGCGGTCTGGAAAGAAGGTGATAGGCACAGGTAGTATTTCCAGGATAGCAAAAGCAACAGCACTAGAATAAGCATTCGTTTACTTTATGTCATTGAGAGTAGCGACGCATTAGTGAACTTCGATCATGTCATTCTGTGGGAGCTGAGAACTCTGAACAAATGGAATGTATTGAGATGATGGACCGATCAATCTGCTGATCTAGATCAGTAGATGAGTAAGACTATATACTGCTAATCTACGTCTAACTACTTCTGGTGATCTATCCTCTTGATCACCTGATCCATCATTCATACCATCTGATAAAGATCAGATGGTCAAAAGATCGGACGGGTTATGTGACCCGGTATGGATTGATCACTGATCGGATGGATCATGTGACTCGGGACGGATCGATCACTGATCGATTCGTCCATTGATACTGCGACACATTCTCATTCAATCGTAGTCTATAAGCAGCTCGGGGCTACGTAAGGCTTTAGCCAGGGACCATTCTACCTAGGACATGTTTAAATGAGTCTCATTACGTATATATTCCCACTACTGAGCTCCAGCAGTTATCTGTTTGTACTTCCACCTCTAGCAGACGCCTGGAGTTAAAAAGTCAGTTCGGTAAAAAAGACGAGACGTCAGATCGCTAAGTGTTTCTTCCAGCGGGCGCTTAGGGGATTACTAGGAGGCATCATGCACATACCGTGTTTCATAACCGAGTCGCTCACGCATTAGCTAATATCTCGTTTGCCTTTCTTTGCCGTACGTCATATGCATTTCCGCTCTACCTCACTGGGCAACATACAGTCAGCTGAGAAAGCTTAATAAATACTTGACTGTTCGGCTCCAATTATCCTTCCACGTCTGATTTCGCTCGTGATACCATTTATCTAAAAAGGATAAACAGAGAATATTAAAACAATGTTTCCAAAAGGAGTAGAGAAAGAAGATAGGTTGTCAGCCCCTAGTTGCTGTAGATATGCCTTCTTTGGGAGTCCTGGTGATGTCATCATCACCCTTACAATAGAGAATACCCAATATCAAGAAAACCACAAGAGCGCATCTAGTTAAGCGCCAACAGTGTGATTTGATAGCGAAAATCTCTCCGTCTCCCGTGATCACAAATCGATATTCGAACATCTACAACTAATTGCTGTCACTCGGAGAGTATCAAACTCTTTTCTTATCTCATTCAGTTCCCTCAAATCTAACTTCGATTCAACGCATAACTTTGATATGCAGGATATCTACTTTACACATCTTCTCCCCCCTCCCAACCCCCAACCCCAAGCCAAGTCCCTCACTTCAAAAACTTACTAATCAACCCCTTCCCCCCCTTAACAAGATTCTTAACCTCCCTCTTCAAATCCTCCGTCGAATGACCCCCCTGCCTCCCCGGCTCCATGAACCCCCCACCGGCACCTCCTTCCCCCCCACAATGACCCTGCCCCCCACACGTACCCCCGGGGCATCCCTGGATAAAATGCTGAACCTCACCACAACACCTCCCACACTCACCAGACCCCATAAACGGCCCCCCATTCCCCCATCCCACCCGCATAACCCGTGCTTTCCGTCCTTCCCACCCGGTCTTCGCATCCGTAGCATGGAACACGCCCCAGACCTCTGGCCCACCGGGTCCATTCACGAGGACGAAATTGCCGTGACCGGGTCCATACGGGGGTGAATCATCGCGCGCAGCTTTGAGGAGGGGGACGTTTGATTTCGCCCAGGAATGCGGATCCAGCGGGTGGCCTCCCGTGTAATACAGGACGTTCATTTTGTACTCGTGCGTCCAGCTGCCTGCGCAGCTATACACGATGCCCATCCAGCGGCCATCGGGGGAAGCGAGGAACTGCGGACCCTCGTTTATGCCGCTGGAGCCAGAGAACTCGAATTGCAAGTCTGGAGTGCTGATGCGGATGGGGTGGCCGGTGCATTCGGTCGGGGATACCATTTCGATAATGAAGATTTCCTGACGCGACTCGTCGGCTTGGGTGCCGAGGGGCCAGCCGGAATACACGAAGAGCATGGAGCCGTGTAGGTATATGACTGTGCCGTCGATGGCCCATTGGTCTTCGGGGAGTCCTGCGAGACGGCCGAAGAAATTCCACTTGCTGGGTTCCAAGGGGTCTTCGTCGGAGGGGGGCCCCGCGAGAACGAACATGCGGTGGGATTTGTTGCCGTACTTTGGGTCGTCGGCAGCAAAATAGACGTACCAGCGTCCTTGGATGGAATGTAGTTCTGGCGCCCAGATATCACCCGAGTAGGGCTGGTTGGGCGGCGGCCGCCATATAACCGTCTTTTTGGAGCGCTCTTCGAAATCGAATAGCGAATCTGCAGACCAAATCTCAACGTGCCCGCCGCACGTAAAGGTCATGTAGTAAGTGCCCTTGTCCCATAGTACATAAGGATCAGCACAGCTTCTCTTTGTAATGGTGAGTATGGAATCGTTGTATGGTGGTCGTTGTCCCTGGTAGATTGGTTGCATTTGCTGGGCCATGTTTGGCGAGATTGAGCTGTGTGGTCGTACTGTTCAGATGTCAATACTACACGTCTTCCGATAGTGAGAAGCAAAAGGAACACATGATAGTGATAATCACAAACAAACAGTCATTAGCACCAAGAGGCTAACATGTCACACGCGTAACACCTGTGTGATGACGTCACTTCGGGCCTTTGATCGTCTTGGATTGCAAGGCAAGTATCAGACAACTTCACCCCATCCGGGCTGTCATGAGGACGGTGTAGCCCCAAGTAGTTTAGAAGTTTTCGGTCTAGATGCCTTACGTGAAGGAAAAAGCAGGGTCTCCTCTACCGGTGTGTGGCGTCGTGATGCATGGCGGGGTAGCAAAGCCAAAAGCCACAGGCCACGCGGGGCCAAGCCACGTCCTTGGTCTGGTGTCCCCCCCCCACTTGTCCTCTTCATCACGCCATGCTTATTTTTTCAAAAAAAGAGAATATGCCATTAATAAGAAAAAATCCTTGTTCTGATTACTCCATATAATAAAAGCTTTCCCAGCTTGACCTATTCTTCAATCGTGGTATCCCTTTCCCAAGTCCTTTTTCGAGTCCTCCTCATTATGTAGAATACATGTCCCTCTTATCCTTACGGCGACGGCGCAAACATCCCATTACACAGCACAGCTATGCAGCAAAGTAGAAAATCAGGAGAGGAAAGAGAAGGTATCCAGAAGTTGGAGCGAGGACTACATACATAGCGTTGCCCTTGGGAAAAGAAAAAGACTCAACACCATGCGACAACCATGTGTCATGCACAGGAGTTGAAAATGTCTATTTGTGTACAACACACCGGTAATGGCTAGTTTTGATTGCCAGTGCGCGGCATTGCATTCAAAGTTCATGTGTGGTTATTTCGGTGATTGGCTACTACAGCTCAGTATTAAGATTTTGCTCGACAGTGAGTTCACCCGCTTCGATGCGGTCGACACGGAGTACGAGTTCCTGTTTCATAATCAGCACATGTACAATCATCACGTTGCTCACAAAAGACGAACCTTGAGGGCCCTTGCAGTCCTGAACGCAAGGGGTGGGATTTTCTCGCGGCCTCCACCTCTAACGTCAACAGCCAGCATGCTTTGCCTGCACTCATCGAGGACTTGAACCACTGGAATGGCGTGCTTCTTCAGAGCGGAATTGGATAGCTGGTTGACGGCATCATAGGTTTTGTTTCCAGTGTCTTCAACTGCCTGTGAAATATCTTGAATGTATTCGTGAATTTGTTGATCATCGGCAGGCGACCCATCTGGGTTGTTGCGTATGAGGGTGACGAGAGGCTGGATACTCTGGACAAGAAGAGCCGTTTGATCTTCAAGATAGTTCTGCGAGCGTCAGTAGGTTGTGGCTACCCATGCCGACTAGGAATGTACCTTGAACTCGAGCATGCCGCTGTCAGGTGCACCGTTTCCGCCGACACTGTGACCATCATAGCCGCTGTAAGGCGAGCTGTATGCGCTGTAGCGGGTAGTGTCGCTGCTACCACCTCTGCTGCTACCACCACGCTGATGGCCAGACTTCATTGTGGTTCCGCCATTCGTGGCTGGAGCGTTGTTTGAGTACACAGCCGGTTTGAGTGGCATAGGCCTATCAGCGTCCTCATCGTCGGCCTCGAGTTCGTCTTCTGGTGTAGGTCGCACCTTGACGTGCTTGACTAGCTCGACAACCGCAGTGGACAGATGACTAGCAGCAGCATCTAGTAGACTAACTGGTGAAAGTCCACCAGAAGCCACATGGTTCTTCGTGGCCGTAATGAGATTGTTGGCCGTAGCGCTGACACGCGACTTTAGCTTTGCCTGTTGCCTCTCTGGATTCGCCAGCATGTCGCCGCTAACACTGCTTGTGGGTGATTGAATTTGCGAAAGCGATGTGTTATCGATGTCACCCGTGATTGCTCGGACACACTTGACAACATGACGCATGCCTTCAAGAGTCTGTTCCGAATTGGCTCTCCTTGCCATCTGGAGCAGCTCGTCAATACTGAGCTGGAACTTGGTTACATGTACATCTTTGACGATTCCATCAGGCGAGGTAAAGGAAGAGTCGCGGGCATAGCCACCTAGGTCGGCTGCTACAAGTTGGGACAGGCCCATGGACGATGCCTTGAGGTTTCGAAGCTGCGTCTTGGTGCGCGCGTATCGTGATTTCCAGTCCTTTAGCTCAGCCTCGAGTGACCGGACTTGATTCGCCATTTGTTCCTCCTTTTCTGCAGCCGCATCACTACGAGCTGACAACTCCTTCATTTCCTGCAGGAACATGGACGCATCTCTTCGGACCTCTTCCGTCACTTGTTGTTGCTCACTTAACTCTCGTTCAAGCTCTTCACACCGTTGTCTCCACTGTCCATCACCGCTATCCGCCGATTGTGGGGGTGGCCTCGATTCGAGGTCGGCAATCTGTGCGCGAAGGTTCTTTTCGATGTCTTCGTTCTCGTTGCGCAGCCTGTCTATCTCCGATCGGAGAGACGAGTTGAGGCTCTCTGCCTCTTCGACTTTTTGCTCCAATGACGAGCGAAGATCATCCCACTCTGCACGGTCAGTCTCCGAGGCACCGACCTGTGTTTTGCCAGCCTGCTCAAGGCGTTCCAATTCTTCGTCCTTGTTTTGTATCGTAGCCTCCAAGGTACCTATTTTGCCCTGCAGTTCTGACACCTGATTCTGGAGATCTTCTACCATTTTTTCCTGGGCCATGTTTATGCTCTTTGCGCTCTTGTTTGTCTGCCGTCTAGCAGCAGCGCCCTCGAGGTTGAAGGAATCGTCGTCATCTGCAGCACTGTCATCGTCATCTTCAACCAGAGTACCCTTGTTCGGGACAATCGTATTTGACTGGAACGTTTTGGGCAATGGGCGCCCAAAGGAGCCTGGCTCATTTCCCGAGCCGGGCCGCATTTGTCCCGGCGGTCCTGGAGGTCCTCCTGGAGGTCCGCCCATTGGTCCACCCATGGGAGGCGGACCTCGATACCCTGGCCCAGGCGGAGGTCGGCCGTTCATACTATTTGGTGTGCCCGCTCTGCTCGAGGGCCCTCTGTTGCTCATGCGACTCTGGACGCTCATGGCTGGGCTTGATGGACGCGGTGGCATCTCGCCTCCGGTGAAGCGGGGGAACCTGCGCTCGAGCTCGTAGAAGACGTCGGTAGCAAGCTGGCGAAAGCGCTCGAGAGGCAGCGTTGATAGCTTTTGTCGCGCCTGGTTGCGTTTGGGGTGGAAGCTGTTCTTGGGGAGGAGGAATTGCGGAGTATCGTTTCCAGGCGCACCGGGTCCTCCGCGCTTGCGATCGGCTTCTCTGCGTATTGACTCGTCGTAGACATCGGTACTGAGTTCCTGGAACTGGACAGACGACAGCCTGGTCAGCTTATCCTTTGCCCTGCTTGGTCGTGGGTTTCCCTTTTCGTCGTTGAGGTAGGGGCCGAGATAGGCCTTGAGGACGTGAAAATGCTCGGCCATGGTGTCCTCGAGGGCCTGCATCTTCCGGCTGTCCATCATGGGGCGCATGCTGTCGTTGAGGCTCGAGGCGTACAAGCCAGTGCCGTCGCTGGAGCGCCCAACAGAGCTGGGCGGTGAGGGGTTTCCATTGCTGGTGCCGGGGCGCATTCCATTCGACATGCCGCCATCAGGGTTGGTTGGGCCGTAGGTGTTTGGGGGGATTGTGGGTGAGTAGGGGTTGTCGCCTGCGATGTTCCGATACCCGTTGATGGGGGACCACTCTTGGCCGTCGGTTGACAGCGGTGACAGGGTGCCACTCCGGGCGTTCATAGTGTTCATCGGGGGCGGCGTCGCACGTGAGACGGCGGGGGCTGACAGCCGTTGGCTAGTGTCGTATCCGTATCGACGGACCAAAGGCGGTAAAAAAATAAAGAGGGAGAAAGCCGGAGTGGCTGGCGAAGAAGGGTGCAGGTGCAGCTGAAACGGTAGGCGTGGTAGTAGACGAGAGGCGCCGAGGAGGGCAACGAGCGACGATCAGCAAGATAATTAGTAGGCAGTAGATGCAGCAAGGACAAGACGACGACGTAAGTGGGCGGTGGGCCAAGCGGTCAAGCGGCCAACGGGAAAAGGGAATGTGAGAAGCAGGCCGGGTAAAGATCAAGAGAGAGAGATGGCGGCGACGCAGACGCAGACAAGAAGACGACGCAAATGCTGCAGCAGCGGCGGCAACAACAACAACAAAGCGCACGGCAACACGAGCATGTGCGAGGCCAGCCAGCCGGGGGTCCACCAGACTTATGAGGCTGGTCTGATGCGTGCAATGACAATGCAAATGTCGGCCGTCGTGCCCCTTTCGTGCCCGTGGGCTTGGCTGCGAAGGGGGAGCGACAGGGCCAGCAGAGGGCCGGCCAGAGCCCAGCAAAAGGTCCAGCCATAGCCCGCCCGGCCAATCACAGTCCGTGAAGCCATGACGCCACTGCTCTGCACCCCCGCGCCACACCCCCGGCCAGCCACGCCAGCGGGAGGCGCGCGTCTATATTACATAGGCCGCTAAAGAAGTATTATGCCATCTGCTAGTTATGCACTTGGCACCATCCTCCGCGCCTTATCGCCCTCTCTCTGCTATATACCTGCCACTACATACTTATACTCCCACAAGAACCCGCTCCACCAGCCCGGTGCCTGGACATTCCCACTCCCGCCCCAGCGGCTGCGCCCTCCTGTCCATTGCACGATCAGCAGCACCAGCGTGTTCGGCCACTGGGCCTGGCCTGGCCCGGCGATCACGGGCCCCTGTCGCCAGCCCGAGTGGAGACTGCCCCAATTTCCTTTTGTACGGGGGGAACACCGCAACCTGCAATCGCATGGGGGTATAGCAATCATCCGAGTACTCACATACTTATGTACCCTCACTCTCTATCCACATGACCAGCAACAACCACTCCCGCCACTCGGCCACACGCCCGTGGCTCTCCAATCCTCCACCATCAACGCCTCTCCCGCACGCCCTGGCGGCTGCATCTCTTCTCTATCGATCGCCTCGTGCCTGCACCCCATCCCACATGGCCCCAGTTCCTAGCCGTTGCCAATCTCGATTCTAGCCCCTTTCAACGTGCTCTCTTGATCTTCGTCGGTGCTTGGTTCCGACACTCGGGACACAGCCAGTCCCCCAGCGGCTCCTCCTTGATGCCCACGCACTCCCAGTGAAACCATTGATATCTGCAGTTGTCGTTGTCGCATGCCACCATGTCGCCAAAGCTGACCCGCTGACATGTGCAATATTTGGTGTCGTCCGACTCGTCTTCCTCTGCATCCCCGCCTCCCATGCCCGACATGTCCTCGTCTTCGGTGCCTGCTTCACTTGCTACGCTCTCGTCGTCTGCAGTCGTAGACGGCGACGCTCGGGACCCGCCCTTGCGACGCTTCTTGTTAACACCAGACTTTGCTGTGAGCGCGGCTTTGCGCAACGGTTGCTGTGGTTTTGCCTTCTTCACTGTGAGTGCATGTTTCGGTGGTCTCGGTCCAACGCTGCCTGCCCGGGAACCTGGTGTCGATGGTTTAGGGGTACCTGGCCCGATTGACCCTTGCCGGCCCAAACTCGACGCCGCGGAGGGCAGCGGACCAATACTGCCTGTCGGACGGCGACGCTTGGTGTCGCTGCCCACTGATACTTCTCGCTCTTGTCGGGCACTGGCCTGCATAGCACTTTGAGCGTTGGTGAGCCGTTGCTGGTTCAAGAGCGCCTGCGTCTGCATGTTCTGCAGCGAAGGATTTGTCCTTGAAGTGAGCCCTACGTTAGTCGCGCTGCTCAGTCGTGCAATGGCGGCTGCTTGCGCGAGGTTTGGTGCACCGCCTCCGTGGTTGCCCGACACAGGTAGCAATGGCGTGTTGGCCCCTGTGTTGGTCACTGAGGCTGGCGGGACCAGATTTCCAGGCGAGTCTCTCAACAACGAGGGCATTTGAGGATCTGTAGGTATCGAGCCATCATTTTGCAAATCTCGTAGCTTGATATCTAGACGTTTGACGTGGCGGTCCAACTGTATTCTTGTAAGCAAACCCTCAGTGATGCAGGGGCCAGGAACATACAAGAGCCGCAGCCTTTTCGACCAGCCCAATCTTCTCCTCCTGCAGTATCTGCGCTTTTTCGTAACTAGCAGTGATGACTTTAGAATAACCCGCCTCTTTTGGGTTCTCCACCAAGCTACCATTCAGTTTGATGAATTTCTGAATGCTGCTATCGCGCTGGTGTATCGCAGCGCGCAGCTCTTGGATTTGGTTGTCCTTGGCCTGTACCTCTTCGTACAGGTGGGTAATCTCAGCTGGCAAGTTTGCAACTATGCAACATTAGCGGGTGTCACGCTCCATTTCTCAAGGTAGTCAAGGTTACCATCATGTACAAACTGCTCGAGCACTGTCGCTGCATCCTCTGCGATGGCCATGGCAGATGTTTGAAGATGTGGTGCGGTTGGGGACGCGTTTGTTTGGTGGCAAGAGGAACCTGCGAGGCGACTGTATGCGGCGCACTCGGGGCCTCAAAGAAAGTTCAAACGGGTCAAGAAAAGCCAGATGCGTCTATTGCGACGGTGACCTCGATGAAAATTGATGAGGCGTGGGTGGCCGCGCAGGTGAAAGAGCCACAGGTGCGATGAAAGTGAAAATCGCTCAATACAAAAACCAACGGATGTTGTCTTAACCTCTCACACGATACCCACAGTCCACTTAGGTTGATCAGCCTTTACACACGATTATTCTTCAAATATCGTAAGTCTGGCGAATTGTCATGTGCTGTCGCGGTCGTTGGCGTGGGTTGGATGAACAGGCATAGCTAGCTGACAAAGAGGCTAGGTTCAGCCGGACGCTCGGCAGGATGCAGCAGTACGGCCAATCAGACAACAGCACCGAAGACGATCCGGTCCTTTCGTCAACGGATAGTGAAGATGGCGACGACGACACCCACGACAACGACTACGACCAAGACAGCGACCAAGACAGCGACTACATCCCAGAAAAAGATACCCCATCGTATAGCACCTCATTCTTCACCACAAATCCTGCTGAGCCAACGCTCCAAACACTTTTAAACGGGCCACAGTGGCAACTGGCCAACCCTTGGGTGCGGCGTGCAGCAAGAGTAGACTATCGTCTGAAGAAGCCTGGGAAACCAAAAACAACAGGCACAGCTAGGAAACAGAAGCGAAAATCCAATGTAAGTAGGTTTTTACTGGTATTACATCTAGGATAGCCTCATGGAGCTTCGATCACGTTTCAAGCTTTGTGACTTCTGGCGCATGCTGACAATCGCAGAAAAGTGCACCCGACAGTAGACCGGTACTGTCCCCTCTTCATGACCCTCAGACTAGTTCGGCCGAGGAATATCCAGCAAAGCGTCTTTCTCCTAACCCTCGGACTCTAGCGCGCTGGGAGAAGCGCCGTGTGGAAGAAAAAAAGTCGCGTTCATTAACTAACAGCACCTTCATCGGGACACAGGACGACTGCAACCGTTGGATTTGGGAGGGTGCTCCGAAACCACGCACCATAGACGAGTTTGACCACAGTACCCTTGGCAGTGCGTCTCAACCATCAAGCAATATGCGGACTCCAGGCTATATCCCGTCCAATGGACCTGCCAACAACATTGTGCAGGAATATCTATCTCCGGACGATGCCTACCCAGCAAGCTTTCAGGACTTCAAGGCGATGACAGATGCTGAGAAGATCGAGGTAATCGCTCGTGAGGCCGAAGAGCATGGGCTGGAGCGACCCAAAGGATGGAATGTCTCGTTTCACTATAATCCGCATGTCGAGTATCATCACTTTGGCAGCTCGCATCCCATGAAACCATGGCGATTGACGCTCACCAAACAACTTGTACTTGCATATGGACTAGAGTACACGATGGATCTTTTTGAGCCACGGCCGGCAAACTTCAACGAACTGGCCATTTTCCACGACCGCGAGTATCTATCATACCTAAGCAAGATTACCCCGCAGAATGCACAGCCCGATGACCCGCAGTATATTACGTATGGGTTCGGTGGAGAGTCGAATGATTGTCCAGTGTTTGATGGCCTCTGGAACTACGTATCCCTCTACACTGGTGCTACCTGCAGCGCGACCTGGAATCTGCTCAACAGCCGGTCTGACATTGCCATTAACTGGTCAGGCGGCCTGCACCATGCCAAGAAGAATCTGGCCTCGGGATTCTGCTACGTCAACGATATTGTCATAGCCATCCAACTACTGCTATCACATCACCAGCGGGTGTTGTATATTGACATTGATGTTCACCATGGCGACGGTGTGGAACAGGCATTCGAGTCAACCGACAGAGTATTCACACTTTCATATCACAAGTATGGGATTGATAAGCACGGTTATCCGTTTTTCCCAGGCACGGGAAATATTGACGAGACGGGCCCGACGGACGCCCGAAACCCCGGCAAGGCTCACAGCCTGAACATTCCAATTGATGACGGCATCGATGATGAGCAGTACAAGTGGCTGTTCAAGACTGTTACGAGCGCAGTAATTGAAAAGTACAACCCAACGGCAATCGTGTTACAATCCGGTGCCGACTCTCTGGGCGGAGATCGACTTGGCCGGTTCAATCTTAACATCAAAGCCCATGGCTTTTGCGTGGAGACGGTCAAGGCATATGGCCGCCCGTTGCTCATCATAGGCGGGGGTGGGTATACGCCACGCAACGTCGCCCGGACCTGGTGTCATGAAACTTCAGTGTGCGTCGGTGCGCAACTGCATAACGAGCTTCCAGCCCATGTGCCATACCTGCAAGCATTCCAAGGGGCAGAGAACGGCGACGGGGTGCTATATCCAGACCTACACAACATCAAACGACACGAGAACCTCAACTCTCAGGCCAAGCTACACAAGCTTATTGAGCAGGCGCTTGAGAATCTGAGATACCTAGAGGGAGCGCCTAGCGTAACGGTGGACACGCGAGGAATTTCTCTCGAGGAGATTATGAAGGTCCGGGAGATGATTGACCAGGAGCTGGAGGATGAGGCGGAGGATCGGGCGAGGCTGACCGTGGAGAACAGCAGGCGGAAGAAGGAGAGGAACGTGGGGGGTCGAAACGAGCGGAGGTAGGACCTCATGATCGGAGTATTGGTCGGGGGATGGCAGTAGACGGATGTCTTGTAGCAAGGTTATGGCGGGGGAGAGTCTGTTTTGGGTAAAGACTGGGGCTTGGAAAGAGGGCACAGCTAAGTATATGACAGGCTTGGCCAGGTAGCACGACAGGGTGATGATGGTGATATTCCAATTGGCCAGAGTTTATTATGGATGACTGCATTTGAAGCCGCCATGGTGAAGGCGATGGTGTTGGTGGATAGGGTGCCAGTGGAGAGCTTCGGGATATCCGGGTCATGGGGTTGAATGTGAGTATGCGTCATTGTTTAGAGGGCGCCAATCGCGGTGGTGGGGCGGGCGGTACATGGATGTCCATGTATGGAAGAATGTCAGTAGACAACATAGTATATATACAAGTAGGTGCTTGGAAGCAGAGACGACATGAGCACGTGGTGGTGAGTCTGGACGTCGGTCGGAGTCTGATGTTGACTCAGCTCCGACAGGCGACTAGGGCAGGGGGTGGTGCCGCCAAAAGTACGGCCGCAAGCAGTCCGGGCGTGTGCATGTCAGAAGCCTCGGGCAATGCACAAAGGGCGTCGTCTGTCAAGGCCGACATCCAACTTCGAACCCCGAAGCTTGATATTTGGACATGAGTACAATGTCCGACGCGAGACGCCCCAGCCAGGACTCGCCCAATCCAAACCAGCCAAGCCGCACTGCCAACGGCCCCTCTCCCGGCACCGCTCCGACACCGACACCAAATCCCCGGTCGTGCATTACCTGCCGTAGGCGCAAGGTCAAATGTGACAAAAAGAACCCATGCTCCCACTGTGTGCGCGCCAAAATCGACTGTGTCTTCCCAGGCCCCGGCCGTGCCCCGAGAAAGAGCAGGAAACCCCCCGATGCTGAGCTGCTCGAGAGACTGCGCCGCCTTGAGGGCGTAGTCACCAGCCTTAATGCCCAAGTCGAGGGCCACGACAGTAACAGCAGTACCAGCAATAACAACGACAATGCCGCCGACCGCCAGAGAGAGCCAACCGCCGCCGCAGCAGCCCAGGACCAGTGCCCGCTGGGGATAACAACAACGACCTCGACCGCCCCCAGCGATGACAGCCTCCAGGGCCTCGAGGCGCGCTTTGGACGGCTCGTGGTTGAGAATGGCCGTAGTCGCTACATCAACAACAGCTTCTGGGCCAGTCTGAACAATGAGGTACGCTGACACGCTTTGTTTTTATTCATTTTTTATTTCACTTTGTACTTGTCGCAGACTAACACAACACTTACTTGCAGGTCGAGAATCTCAAGTCCATCCTCATGGAGCCCTCGGACGACGAAGACGATGCGCATACACCCGAATCCTCAGAACCGTCGTCACAACACCACAGTTTCATCTTCGGCTACAGCTCCTCCAATGTCGACATGCAAGCCCTGCATCCCCCCGAACACCATGTCCGCCAGTTCTGGAACATCTACAAGGAAAATGTAGAACCCCTAGTCAAAGTCTTGCATGTCCCTACCTTTGAACTCACCATCATGAATGCCGCTGCCAATATCGAAAAGGTCAGCAAAGGACTCGAGGCTTGGTTGTTCGTCATCTACTATGGTGCTGTGACCAGCATCACCCCCGCAGAATGTCGTGATATGTTTGGAGAGGAGCGAAGCACGCTTCTCACCAGGTTCTGCTTCGGCATCGAGCAGGCTCTTGCAAGAGCCAACTTTCTCTACTGCGACGAAATTCTCATCCTCCAGGCCTTTGTCGTCTACCTTGTCTTGCTGCGCCGCAACGACGATGCGCGCAAAATCTGGCCATTGACTGGTCTCGTCGTTCGCATCGCCCAAACCCTAGGCATCCACCGAGACGGCACCCACTTTGACCTGCCGCCCTTTGAGGTTGAGATGCGAAGGCGGCTTTGGTGGCAAGTCTGCATCCTCGACGCCAGATCTGCCGAAGATCAGGGGTGTGACCCCAGCATCCATGAGACGCTATTCGACACAAAGATGGTGAGTTCATTTTAGTTCCAAGTGCCACGCATGTATAGCTGCTAACTATTGTCACAGCCTCTTAATGTTAACGACAGTGATATCCACCCTGGAATGATTGAATTCCCCCAAGGCCGGCAAGGCTTCACCGACATGACGTTTTGCTTACTCCGCTTCGAGATTGCAAACATAATGCGCCGCATCATCTACGTACCACCAGGCCCAAACAGGTGCACTCAATTCCTTACAAATCTCACCGTTGAGCAGAAAGAAAAATGGATCACCGGCTGCCACCAGGCCATAGAGGAAAAATACCTCAAGGATTGCGACATGACCATACCACTGTGCTGGGTCACAGCGACAGTATCAAGACTCATCATGAGTAAAATGTGGCTGATTGTCTATCACCCGCATCAGCGCAAGGATGGAGGTGCTACGTTATCACAAGAGATTCGAGATAAGCTCTTCGTCACCTCTCTCGAAAACATAGAATACGGCCTACTACTCGAGACGGAAGCACGCACAATGAAATGGGGCTGGCTCTTCAAAACCTATGTTCAGTGGCATGCCATTGCGTTCTTGCTCTCCGAACTTTGCGTGCGTACCAAAGGCGAGGCTGTAGACCGTGCATGGAGAGCACTGGAAACTTGTGCTACGCGGTGGTGGTTCCCTTTTTCTGAGGACGAGCCACAGCGCAAAGCCCACCATAGCCATATATGGAAGCCACTCGCCAAGTTGCTGGAAAAGGCAAAATTAGCCCGCGAGCGCCAACTAGCCCTCGAGCAAGCCATTTCGTCCTTCCAAAATAGACCGTTTACGAGCGACACATTCGACTTGAAATCTCCCGAGGCTTTGCAACAGACGGACAGGACTTCTTTTACATCACCTCAACAAAACTCACAGACTTTAGACAACATGCTCCGGCCCGTTGCACCCAAACTTGGCGCCATACCAGGAACTCAGCAACCTAGCTGGCCCAATGGTATGGACATACAGCGTCCTCTGCCAGATGAACCAGCAACAGGATTCCGAGATGGCGCACAAGATCTAAGCAATTCAGCACAAGCGTTTAGAAACATTTCAGCATATGGTCTCGACGATGTTATCAACGACGCCATGGCAGGTACACTGCTGGATTTCCCGAGTTACGTTCAAGGTACGGTATCTACGTCTGGAGCTGCGCATCCGAATCTCTCGCAAACTTCTCAGTCCTTATCGGCTGCTGAAGCTTTTGCTACAAACAACGCGCCAACCGCGGCGAATGGATATCGTACTTTTGGTGACGGGATGCTCCCAAACACGACCATGGGCTTCGATATGAATAGTAATGGAGGTCGAGGCATGACAAGTATACGTGGAGCTACGAACGGGCAAGAGATGAACGAAAATGACATCATGGACAATGGTGACGTGGACTGGCCGCTTTGGGACGACATGGTGAATCAACTTGAGGCGGATAACCACATAGCTAATGCTTCCACTAGAACTGGACCGGGAACACTTGGTATGGTGCCATGGTTTTGAGATAGGAGTGTGATGATTCTATGATCATGTTTTGGCGTTTAGAGGATCTACGCTCCATTTTTTTGGTTGTGGATAAATGCGGTGATGATGTTTGTATACCCTCTTTCGTTACAGTGTGTGTTGTGTTTTGTGTACGTAGTACTATTGTTACAACGTGTAGGATTCTGAATTAAACATTTTATACTTCTTCTTGTCAACTTTGGCCCACCACCTTGCATGTAAGTTTTTGGCACTTGGCAACGTAAAGGCATTTGAGAAATGAAAGAAAACTCTCTCTCTATCTCTCTTTCGTCACAGATGTAGATTTTAAGAATAATAATGCCTGTCAGCTTGCATTATAACAGGCGACATAAGATGACTTACCCTTTCCCGCCCCGCCAAGCCCCACGAACCCCCCCTCCTCCCCCTCACTTTTCCAACGAAACTCGCAAATAACCCACGTGCATGCAGCAAGCAAGCCTGCACCAGTCTTATCTTCGTCGATATGCTACCACTTGCTAACATAATGGATGAGCGATCCGCATCTAATTACTACTAGTACCCTCTTTTTTTTGTGTTGGCCCCACGTTCCCATGCTTCCTTGTCCCCCCCCCGCGCGCGCGAACCCGGGATCCCTGCTGGGGTAAGTGTGGTAAAAGAGCCCACATGACCGAGTACCGTTCCTCAACATATCTGCGGGACGGAAAGAGAGTGACAGCTTGGGAAAGAAAGATCAACGACAACTTACAATTTTTATATATCTATATATCTATTTGAACAGAATTCACTCGCCGGCTTTTCCATCTTTCACAGCCTTGATTTTTTTTATAAAGAAAAAACAGAAGAGAATAAGTAGGAATCGTTTCGGAAGAGGGGCAAAATGGCGTTGCAAACACAGGCCGCAAATGTAGCCGCGAAACCCACGATTCTGCACCTCGGCGACGATATACGCTGGAATCACGAACTGTACCGCGAGTTGGCGGCCACATTCCATGTTGTGCGGACGTATTCGATGGGGCGTGAGGAGTTTAAGGCGGCGCTGCGGGAAGGGCGGTGGGGGGATTTTGTAGGCATGTACCGGCCGTTTTGGAATACTGGGGGGGAAATGGGGAATTGGGATGAGGAATTGATGTAAGTTTGATCTTTTTTTTTCTTCTTAATTTCTTAGAATTTATGTTTTTTGTCTCCTTTATTTTTCATACCATAAGGAAAGAAAGAGGATACAGAATATGAAATTTCGATAGGAACAAAGATGATTAACTACTACTACATAGCTCTCTCCTCCCTTCCTCTTGTAAAATCTACGCCTCAGCCGGCGCAGGCTTCGACTGGGTCGACACGCGCACCATGGCACTTCACGGCATCATATACTGCAACTCTGCCTCCGCGTGCACAGAGTCCGTCGCCGACGCCGCCATCGTGCTAATCCTGTCCTGCTACCGCGCAATCACGTGGTCCTTCCTCGCCGCGCGCTCCCTGTCCACCGAGCAATTCCACGACGCAAACCGCAACATCGCCGCCGTGACACACAATCCGAATCATAGCGTTCTCGGCATCATCGGTCTCGGCCGCATCGGCATGCGGATTGCAGAAAAAGCGACGCGCGCGTTTGAAATGCGCATCGCGTACTACGATGTTGTGAGGCAGGATGCGGAGCGAGAGAAGAGCGTGGGGGCGACGTATTGTGCTAGCCTGAAGGAGTTGCTGGGGATCGCGGATTGCGTGGTGCTGGCTACGCCGTTTGAAGGCGAAGTGCTACTGTCTACGCCGCAGTTTAATCAGTTTAAGCCCGGGGCGCGGCTCGTGAATATTGCGCGTGGGAAATTGGTGGATGAGGAGGCGCTGAATAAGGCGTTGGATGAAGGTAAGGTCGGGGCGGCGGGACTTGATGTTCATGCCGATGAACCGCGTGTGAATCCTAAGTTGGCGACGAGAAATAATGTTATGGTTTTGAGTCATACGGCGGGAGCCAGTGTGGAGAGTCATATAGGGTTTGAGCGGTTGGGCATGGAGAATTTGCTGGGGTGGTTGAGGGAAGGGGAGAAGGGATGTGTTAGTGCGGTCAATCTGCAGTGGTTGAAGAGGGAGTGATGGATGGAAAAGTCTTGAGGTTTGACTGGGAGGAGGGGAGGATTCCGATAATATACACGTACAACGTTTTGCTAGAAGTTCAATCAAGATTAGATGATTTCATAGTTCCAGGCAGACAAATACAATGAGCCAAAACCAATCTCTGATCTAACAAAAGTTTATACATTCTTAGAATATCTACATATATATGTACTGAGTGACACTCCATAACCTCAATCTACGCTTCAATAACCTCCTTCCTTTCAACTCCATCCTTTTCGACCCGATCATGCATCTTCCTAGCAACTTCGTCGGTAAGATATTGCTCTACATTTGGTGACAACAGTGCTGCAACGATAAGCAGCACTCCGAACGGTAGCGTGCAGAGATACACCGTTCTAAACGAAAGTGCATAAGCATCTTTCACAGCTTTCCCAGTCGCTGCAATAATCTCTGGCGTAACACCAGGCACGGCTGAGAAGTTTCCCGACGTGACACTTAAAAGTAGAGACTCTAGTGACGACTCCGGGAGACCAGCGGCAAGTGCAGCAGGCCTGACTTTTCGTGGAATATACTTCTTTGACTCTGTTGTGATGATGGAAGAGTACATGCTTGTCGCGATGGCCGAAAGACCGGTGCGTATGGCTCCCATGACACCAGTCACCAAACCGATATCCGCTGGGTCCCAAAGATATGCAGTACTCGAAAGCGTCAGGTTCTCAATGTATCCTGCTGCAATGGTGCCGATTAGTAGAAAGGTCGTGGTTCGGTCTTCAGTACTCTCATCGGATGCGGCAACGGCGGCGACAAAGGCTGTTGTGATAACTGCTGCCACAGTCATCTGGATCTTCATTCGTGGTAGATAGCGCACACCAGCACCTCCAAGAATCTGTCCCAGGAGCAGACCACCCCCGACAGCACACTGTAAATGTCAGTCTCAATTCAAAAGCTCAAGAATCTACCAACTTACAGAAAGCCACCCGATCTTGGAAATGTCGGTTGTGAACAACGCAGAGACCATGGTGGGCCAGATGACCGTGTTGGCATAGTAGACAATAGCCGCCAAACTAGCACACGCTACATTCGCATCGTACTTGATGTTCCTGAACAACCGTAGGGGGATTAGTGGGTATTCGAGTCCAGGAGCGTATGCTTCCCAAAAGCAAAATGCCACCAAAGTGCCAAATCCCGCAAACAATGCTCCAAGTACGTGTCCGCTATCCCATGGATATGCCGAGCCACCCCAGTTCATGCCGATCAGAAAAACAACGAGGCCAGTTGAAAACAGAATAATACCAACCCAGTCGAGAGTCTTTAGCTGTTTAAATTTAGACTTGCCGCCAACGTGGAGCATTTCCTGTACTTGTTAGCCCCTGGCCGAGACGGGTGGATGAGAGCTCGCTTACGTATGTTGGTGGGAAATAGAAGAAAAAGTACATGACTACGGCAAAAACATTGACGATACATCCTAGGATATAGCACCATCGCCACTGAAGAGCTGTGGTCTGATATAGTGATCGCGCAACTGGAGGGCCAAAGACGGCAAACGGAACCGAAGTGAAAAGCACAAAAGCATTGACTGGACCTCTGAGGGAGTTTGGTACAAGCTCGCCGAGGATGATGTGAAACGAGAGCTGACCGGCAGCGGCGAGGCCGTTGATCGAGTTGGTGGCCTGTTTCTGTTAGCTCCGTATGATTCTATAGCATTTTGTACTGACAATCAACATGTCTATGCTTTGTGCACTCGCTCCAATGATGTTGCCGACTAAACCGAGAAGAGATGAACAAATGAAAAACCATCTCCGACCAAATATGTCGGATAGACGACCAACAAGCGTGAAGCCAATAGCAAAACCAGCTGTCCAGGAGATGCTGACCCATATGATGTTTGGTGATGGTCCAATGGCAGCGTTAATGAGGCTCAAGGTGTTGGATGGAAGAACCCAGCCAAGATACCTAGACGATAGTCAGTGTCTCGCCCTATGCCATAAGTTGGACATAGAATTACCCCGATATTTGCGCCAAACATGTAGCCTATACATCATGAGCCTTCCATCGACCAGAAAACCTCAAAGACCTACAATGACTGTGCCGATGAAGTTCACACTGGTAAAGTATGACTTGCCCAAGTCGGCCGTGCGCCCGCCGAGCGCCTCTTCGGCAACATGGTCGTGGTGGAGTCCATGGTTACGAGCGGTATCTTCATCAGTGAGGTTGCTACCAGTAGTGAGATTAATACCGGTGGTGACTTGTTCATGGAACTGCTTCTCTCTTGCCATGGTGGTTTGGCCTCTGGCGGATTCAGTGGCACTGTTGTGTACGGAGCACGACAGTGAAGATACTCTTACAGCGATGGAGTCTGGACTATCTTTATCAACATGCAATGCTCATGATTCAGGGCACACATGCGGGGACCCCAGACGCCTGAATGTGGAGTAAAGGCTCCGTCAGTCGGGACCCAGATAACCGGGAGTGGCCATCACGTACAAGGCAATGGTTTCACGACATGGAGTAATGATCTGCTTACCCAGATGGGAAAGGCAAGCACTATGTGATTGGTATCTAGGATTCCCTACCCGGAAATCATTTTGACTCTGTGAAGGTGCAGGACCTGGCCGTGGGTGGTAGCCGGATGATGGTACCCGGACTGCAGATGAAAGAGCCTTTAATACAAGAACGGCAATGAAGCGTGCTTTTATATGCATGTACAAGGACCAAATGCGTTTGTCAAGCAGACGAGACTGCAGCAATTAATTGCTCGCGAGATGCCTACCAAAGTGGCAGCCCCAGGACTCGCTGTGCAGAAGATGCATGCCGTAGCAGGGAAAGATCATCGGCTATCGTTTCCAGCGCAGAGTGACCTAGGAATTTTGTTCGACAGTCTTTAGCCGGCATACGCTGCTCGACCGCAAGCCTCCCATATGCGGGGTCAAGGGGTTGACTGCAAATGCAAAGGCACTTTACGTATCCGAGTCACGATGCACGAACCCGTGTCTAGGTAGACTTAGCGCGTGGGGTGCAGCATGGATGGCATGCAAAGGGACTCGGAGGCTGACATTGCCGCTGTGCCTCTAGTCATCTCTGTATAGGGAGTACACGTGAGAAGGGTGTTGAGTGAAAGGACGAAAAATGGAGAATGGAGAATGAGAAATGAAGAACAGTAGGGAGGCCAAGGAGTGCATACGGTGGTAAGCGAGAAGGAGCGGCGTCGTCTTCCCCGCATTCCACTCCCGCCAACACGTGATTGGGCGTGACTCGTCGCGGTCCCGCCAAAAACTTTTGGTCACGGTTGGCATGTCGTCGCGTCTTCACCTTCGCCTTCACCATAACCTCATGATCGACCGGTGACGCACACCCAGACCTTAGATCCAGCATGACTTCAGTAACGGCGCCTTCGCCGGTGCCCAAAGAAGAGCCCGTTGACGCCAACAAGAGCAACAATGAAAGCCTCAGCCCCGCCGATGCGCTATACGAGAAATGCGCCCAACGACCAGCAGGCCACATCTTCTTCCAGCGCGACCTGTCCAACATGCAGGTTGCAGATACCGTGACGCAGCTGATGGAGCTGTTGCAAGAGCTCGGCGACCGCCATCTCTTGAAGCTCATGCATCTTGAGGGAGACCCGTGCTGGAAGCTGAGAACACGAGAAGAGGCCGACAAGTGTGTGCGCCCTTGATGCTGTGCACGAGTGCGCAGTCTCAAACACTCGAAATAGCATATGCGAGCGCCCTGCTAACATGTATGCCCAGGCTTCGACGACTAACTCCCGACGAGCGCCTCCTCTACCAGCACATCGACCAGGCCCAGGCCGAAGGTATCTGGTCCAAGTACCTTCGAACCAAGACCAATGTCACCCAGCAAACCCTCACAAAATGTCTCAAGAGCTTGGAGTCCAAGGACTTGGTGCAGTCAGTCATGAGCGTCAAGCACCCCAACCGTAAAATGTATCTCTTGAAGCACCTCAAGCCCTCGGAAGATATCGCTGGCGGGCCATGGCAATCAGAAGGCGACTTTGACATGGCGCTAATTGATACAATATCGGGTATTGTTGCACAGCATGTGGAGAACGAAACTTGCATCCGGGTGCCGGGCAACTGGAACGATTACGACATCACGGAAGATAGGACGGCTGCCATTGCCTGGAAGAAAGCCCAAGTGCAAGGCATTCCGGACATTGAGGACATTGCGCCGGCTGTCAAGCCTCATCGCCCATCCAAGGATCCAAATGTAACCAAACTTGTTCATCGACACAACCCACAGTACCCGACCGCCGCCTCCGTAGCCAACTGGCTCAACTCGAAAGAGATTTTACGTGGCAAATTCGTGCGCGAAGACGACATGGAGCAATTACTCGAGATGATGGTGCTCGACGATCGACTAGAGAAGATATCAGGTACCAACTATCGGACTGTGCTGCGCGCAACAGATACCAAAGTCTACAATGGTTTCGTAGACGCTCCCTGCGGCAACTGCCCAGTATTTGATTTATGTGGAGACGAGGGTGAAATTTCAGCACGAACTTGCGTCTACTTTGGCCAATGGCTCGAGACGGAATCTGAGGAGATTTAGAGGCAGAACTATTTAAGAAGCTTGGACGATTTTATCCTTTATTTGAAAGCATAGCGTGGGCGTTCATGGATATTATTCATAGCCTAAGTAGGCTCGGTGTGTTCACCAGCCACGGCTTTAGTCGAAATCAAAAGTTCAGTTTTGAGTGCATACTTGATTTCGTATTTGCCTTGCCGTGTCAGTGGTTTGGCCTGCATATCTGACTCACAAAATTCATTTCTTAAGTTGCGCAAACATTGTTCGAATAGGAGGGTGAATCGTGGTGCCTTGCTGCTCGTTAGGAATGTTGCGGTAGCTTTTAGTATACCTAGGTATATGCAGGGTACAACGGCACGTCCACTCAATGTTGGCAATGATTGTGAACGCGCCATCTGTCTAAGTGTCCCGATATCTTCACATGCTCTGGAAGATATTTCATTGGAAAAATCTGTCTGGTACTTGGCTTCATTTCTGAAACCAGGTGGTATATCCTCTCTGAACGTATACTCCGTAGGGTGGCCGTGTCTTATTTTCGCAAGCATGATAATATGCAGGGAAGCAACTACAACCACGAGTCTACCACACTCAGGATTCATTCTCGTAACTTGTGATATATGCGCTTCTAATAAGGAAGTTTTTCGATATGATTCTAGGTATCTTTCTTGAAAATGAATTAGGAATGAAACAGAAATGTTCAATGAGTTTTGGTGCGGAGGCTCTTCTTGCGAGCAAACATCGTCTCTTTCTCGGGCAGAGATTGCTGGCAATCTAATATACTTCTCTGCCAGGGACTCCACCACTCAATCCAGCGTTCTACATATTCACTTCGGGCTTTTGCAGAATATTTTTCCGTGTGCTTAATAAGCTGACCAATTCCCAATATGATACGCTTACTACTTGCAAATGTCTTACCAGGTCATGTTCATATCCAAATGTTGTTTCTCGGATGAATGCCATTCTTCGAAATGAGCTGTGAGTAAAAAATATCACTTGTGGTTCTCATTGGCTTGATTCGATGTAATGCTGAGCTAAGTTGACTACATAACGAGGATCGAGATTACCGTATAGTGGATCAACAGAAGATGAGATAGAAGTTAGTTCAAAGAGCGCTTAGAGCGGTAGAAAAGTTAAGACATTGCAAGTATGAGAAGACACTGATGGCAGATAACCGACTGTCAGTGGTGAACATGAAGACTATGGGCTGCTGAGTGGTTATGACTAGAGGTCTCGTAGTCCAGTAAGTCTACACACAAATGCTGCATTAGACCACTTGTCTTATAACTGTCTAAGCAGCCTTGTATCTATATATTCTCAAAGATTTTCGACCCTCCTACTATAGATCATTGTAAAGATTACTAGGTCTCGCCAAGACGTCTCCAGGAGAAGGATAAAGCTTGTATCACGTGGTATGAGCGTGTCACGCTAGCAACACATACGGTGTCGATCATCCGTCGCAACAACCCCCGTGGCTATCCATCTGACCTGACTAGGTCTCCACCCCGTAATCTCCAGTCTGCATGTAACAAACCACGAACCCAACCCTCGCATCGCTTTCGCACTGTTTAGTCTTTACTGGGCCTTTGTGCTCCCACAACATCCACCATGTCTGGTGCTCGCCCCCTACTGTCGAACCGCGCGTCTTCTGAGATAAGCGGTGGCCGCGATCTGGCAGAAGAAGATGCCCTACTCACAGGCCGCCGGACCGGATACGGACAGAAGGGATATTCGCAATCACAGAAATGGAGAGAAGTCGGACTGTTTGTCTGGGCCGTTATTGCAACAGGCGCTGTCGTTGTGCTCGGCATTCTCCTCCAAAGTTCGACCGACGACTCCAAGACACCCCAAGCAAGTGGGAAGAGGAACCTGATTTTCATGGTTTCTGATGGCATGGGCCCTACCTCACTTTCTCTCACGCGATCTTTCATGCAGTTCCAGAATGGCGCTCCTTTCAATGAGCAGCTCGTCCTCGATCAGCACCTCATCGGCCAGTCACGAACACGCTCCTCTTCCTCGCTCATCACCGACTCAGCAGCCGGTGCGACGGCCTTCTCTTGCGCACAGAAGAGCTACAACGGCGCCATCTCCGTAACTCCTGATCACGAGCCATGTGGTACTGTGCTGGAAGCGGCTAAGAAGGCGGGATACATGACCGGCTTAGTAGTTACAACGCGCATCACTGATGCTACACCGGCGTGCTTTGCTGCGCATGTGAACATGCGATCTGAGGAAGACCGCATTGCAGAACAAATGGTTGGAGACCACCCGCTTGGACGTGTGGTTGACTTGATGTTTGGCGGTGGCCGATGCCACTTCATATCAAACTCGACTGGCGATTCAAGCTGCCGAGCCGATGACAAGGACATTATCGGAGTGGCCAAGAAGAATGGATTCAACTACATTTCGGACCGTGCTGGATTCGACAAATTGAAGGGAGGAGTTTCGGTCGACTTGCCCATGTTGGGACTCTTTGCTGACACAGATATCCCCTATGAAATCGACCGCCGCAGTCAGAACGACGTCTACCCGAGTCTGCACGAGATGGCCGAGGCCGCCATGAAAGCGCTCAGCCATGCGACCAGAGACAGCGACAAAGGCTTTTTCCTAATGATTGAGGGTTCCAGGATCGATCATGCAGGCCACCACAACGACCCTGCTGCTCAAGTCCACGAGGTGCTTGCATACGACAAGACTTTTAACAGCGTCCTCAACTTCATCAAGAAGGAGAAGACACAAACCGTCATGGTCTCGACGTCTGACCACGAAACCGGTGGCCTCGCAGCCGCTCGACGTACGTCGTCTCCCATACTCTTTGCACGAACCACAGCTAACATATCCTCCAGAACTCCATGCTTCATACCCTGAATATCTCTGGTACCCGTCTCCTCTCGCCAACGCCTCCCACTCCGCCGAACACCTCGCTCTCGCATACAACACATTCCTCGCAACCAACCCCTCAACCGATCAAACCGCCGATTTTGTCCGCGATTCCATCACCACCGGTCTGGGCATCCACGATTTCAACGACGACGAAGTCAACAATCTCGTCAAGGACCCCGCAACTTCCCTCTACCAATACGCAGACATGGTTTCGCGCCGCTCGCAGACTGGCTGGTCGACTCACGGTCACAGCGCCGCAGACGTCAACATCTATACCTCTAATCCCGAAGCTGCACACGCACTCCAGGGTAACCATGAGAACACCGAGGTTGGCCAGTTCCTCAGGGACTATCTGAATGTCGATGTCAATGCTGTAACGAGGGAACTGCTAGAAAAGGGCCGGGGATTGATGGTCCAGGGTGTCAATGGCACTGAAGTTAGTTGGATGGGTAAGATACCGGATGTGGGTGAGAGACTGGATGGCCAGACTCATCTGGCAAGTTACGGGGGTGATTTCAAGAAGAGGGATGAGGGTGTTTTGCATGGTGAAGCCTGTGGATGTGGACATTAAGCCTTCACCTCTCTCTCTCTCTCTCTCTTCCTTTTTTTAACGTCTAACCTGAAATTCCCCAAGACCAATTCGAGCGTTTTGTTTGTATGCCACATGTTTTTTATGGGCGGGTTTTGAAACGTTTTGAGTCAGGATTTTTGTGTCCGTGTTTATGTGAGGTATGCTGTATGTGCGTTGCATAGATTTTTTTTCCTCTTCACAATGAGTATGGTTAGAAGGGGTAATCAATATTTTGAAACTACTGCTTTCGATATACTACCTAATATTCATTTTTCTGACTCGTCAAATTATCTTACTTGTCTTGAATTCTTTGTTTGATCGTGTGGTCGTTTTTTGCGAATATTATTTTTGTAATGTTGAGGTTTTATTGTCGTCCCAAAAAATTAAATTCGCTAGTTATTCTTTATTTTGACATTTCATCTGTTCAACGCTTTATCAGCGAAGTTATTTCTCTACATATTCTGAGATATCGACACTTTTTGAGTTGTATTTCTAAATCATGCAGGGTATGAATTTAATACGATACTTATTTAATGCATGTATTTCCGTAGATTTCGTTTCAAACCAAAAATAAGGTACATAGAGGATAGAAAATAGCGCAAAGCAAAGTAGAAATAGAAGTTGAACTTGGATGATTAACACTGCAATTTAATATGGTGAAAAAAAAACTAATATACTGGTTTGGTCCATGGGCACATCATTTTGTAGTATAACACTTGATAAGCACCACACAGACGGCACAATAAATTATAAGTCCAAATTATTCAAGGAGATATGCTGTCACATCGAATGAGCAAGGAGCGCAACACTTTGTATTACTAAACTTAGACATTTACAAGTCAAGTCCAACACACTAACAATAAAGACACATAGTGTCACGAACAGGACTCTTAAGTTGAATGATCAATTCTCCGCCCAAACGCCACGCTAAATCAAACACCCAAAACTCGCAGATGCCTCAATGATCCAAACTTATTTACTTCAATATTGCCTTTGTATGAATCTGTTCCAGAATCAGAAGACTCCAAGCGACTCAGAAACTGGCTCAGGGAGATCCTGCGACGACAAACCACTCTATCGTTTGTCCAGATTCAACTTAGACACCAAAATCGTTTCCAAAAGTTCCACTGCCATATGTCCAATCTGGTTGTGTATCCAGCAACCAAGATACAGAGTCGAACATTTCAAAACTATTGGCGCTCGCCATGCCATTGGAGAGCTGAAGGGGCATACTGAGCGTATTGATGTGTGGATTGAAGTTTGGCAGGGTATGCGCGGGATTCTCAATTACCACGCCATTCGGTGGCGTAGAATTACCAGAAGAGTCCGGGTTGGTAGGATTCGTTGTAACGGTTTTTTCGAGTAATTCCGCGGCACCGGCAACCTGCGCCTCGCGCCAGCGCCATGCACAGTCGAATACTACGCTCATACTCATCCGGCTTCTGATTATTAGGCCGAGAGGATCATCCAGTAATGTGGCACTGCTCCGTCTTTGCTCGTGTTGTTGCTGTTGCCGCTGATTGTGGTGGTTGAACATACTGCTGTTCATGCCTGCATTGCTAAGGGAGGGTGATTGCGACATGCTGTGCAAGCTGCGACCTCGAGAGCTTTCCTTCCAGAGCTGTGCTAGCACTTCAGCGAACCGATCCAAAAGGTCGTTGGACCACACTTTGGCCTTTCTCAGTGCGTCAACCGTTTGCAGTACGAATTGTCGACCTTTGTCCGCAGGCAATTTGCTGGCAAAATCGGAATTGAGGAGTTTGAGTAGGGCGAATCCAGCTGCGAGTGCCATCTGCATTACATAATAGGGAACGTAGGGTAGCTTTCCATCGCTATGCAATTTGAAGACGCGTTCCAGGTAAGCTGTCGCGGCGAAGTACAAGGCGACAAGATCGTCCCGTCGCTCCAGTCGGGCTTCAGTGCTGAAGAAAGAGTATAGGTGAAGGTGCAATGAGACGGCGTAATGATATAGCTCTTCCAGATCTACTCATTATTAGTCAATCAATGCTGTGACGAATGCTACCAGTACAACTTGCCACTATCAACGCCATCAAGAGAACTATTTTCCTCTTTAACACGCTCCTCTTTCAGGCGATCTGCTTCGAGACTCATATAGCTGATGGCAGCACCTTCGGCAAATCGACGACTGTTCACTGAGTACAGTAGCTTGTTAATCCTGCTTGCTGCCATTTCTTGGCGAAGCCGAACAAACAGCGTTGGCGGTATGATACGCATGTGCTCCTCGTCATCCACTTTGAAATCAAGCGTGGTATCGTAGAGTGTGATAGAGGGCTGTCCGTTTCCTGTCGATACCCTGAAAGTTGTTAGTCTTTTTCTGGGGTTGCAAGCAAGGCTAGGCCTACGTTTGTGCTACAATATTGCAGACAGCCCATGTCCTCAGGCGATCGTGAATATCCTCTTGCCGTAGGCGCATCTTCGTTCTAGAAAAGTCATCTGGATGGGTCGGCTGGTGTAGGCCTATTTGCATTGCGACTTGCATCATGGCACCAGAGAGGATAAAGGTTGGATCTGTTACTGTTCGCTCGGCTGGTAAAGGCCAGGTACAGAGAAGACACAAGGCCTTGACCACGTGATGGTTGGGCTGATTTCTTATCGAATCCCATATCAGATCGCTGAGTGGTTTGGCAAGTTCCTTGAGGAGGGACGGCCTAGGCCCGTAGCGCCGTGCGGCAACAGCAATAATGGCCCAGAACAAGAGCTTATGGTCCTGAGAATAGTATTCGTCGGGCGACCGCACCTGGTCTAGGAATGGCAAAAATGGATGGTAGAGCTGGAAATACTCGGTGAACAAGTCGTTGACCTCGCTGTGCCCAAGCCTCACTTCGCCAGCGCCGAGCGAAAAGAACATAGGCGATCCGCTGCGCAGGTCGAGGAGAGACGTTGCCGCAACTTGTGTGTGTTGTGTTTGTAAAAATGCATCATCCTCGACCTTGGGCACTGGACCGGGAGTGAAGTTGTGACTATTATTTGACGTTTGCGGCGGAGCTTTGAGGACAGGTTGGTTTGGCGTGGACTGGCCCTCGTACATTGCCAGCCTCTCGCGGAGATATTCCATTTCCTTCTCCATCTCTGCATTCCGGTTGCGCTTGCCTATGCGCTTGAAGTTTGGCTCGATGACGCATCGTAGGTTTTGCTTCTGGCAGCGGGCGCAGCTGACGAAGGGATCTTGCTGAACGTTGCATTTGAGCTGTGAAGAAAAAAGTCAGAGTTAGCGGGAAGAAGCAGTTACAGTGGTGGTGGAAAAAGAAGAACAAGAGTGTTGATCGCCCAACTGTCTACCGCCGACTGGCACACAGAGTGATCTGGCATACCTTTTGCTGGCGACACTCGTTGCATGCGCGCTTCACGGCGGTATTGCGCCGCGACGACGACGACGGGCGCGTATCTCCATCGCCGTTTTCGTCGTCGTCGCTGGATGCCGAGCGCTTAAAACCGCGCGCATGGTTGCTGTTGGGGCTTGCGAAAGGGTGCGGAAGGGCTTGTAGTCCCGGCGTCGTCGGCGACAAGGAATGTAACATGTTGTTCGACATGGCGACCGATATCGCAGACGATTTAGGGTGTCGAGGTGAGTGTAAGTGGGGGTCGCGCTGGCTGAGTGTCCGAGGCCGCCAGCGCAAAAGTCACATTCACTCGCGGCGCCAGAGTCTGACTCCAACACTCCAGGACCAGGAAGGGCGCGGAACAGGCGCTCGATCATGCGCGTCGTTGCAATCGCAAATTGCAAGCTCCACGTCCTCGAGCGCCGGCAAGCTCTACGTACATGAACGCTCGTCAACCACCAATCACATCATCGGGCCCATGCTCGAGTCACGGCTCACCAGCCTTCTTCTGGCTGGGCACCGTGCCTATCCGACATGTTTCTCCCGTCACGGCTAGGTTTATTTGTATCTGAGTCTGAATGACACGCGCCTCACCGTCTGGACATGACGTCTGTGTCCCATACATCGATGCAAGACATGGTTCACATCGTCGTCATCAGTATGCAGGCTATGACATGCAAGCAGCTATATATATAGACGTCGATTCGGTACTACTGTCGTCTGAGCACGTGTTGATATTATGTTGCAATGATAAATTCTGCCCTCAAGCCGTGTGTTGACTGACAGTAGCACTCGCGCATTCTTCTCGAAAGACGCAAGCCAGGGAAATTTTAGGCGCACCAGTTTGCATTGGAATACGGCTTCTGAGCAAGCATTCAAGCCACCGGCCCTTCACATTGGCGTCACACTATAGCATCCTGGGAGAGTCGTGTCGTAGCTTGTGGATGTATTCGTGATCCTACTCAGCTACATCCTGGCCGAGTGGCGCAGAAATCTTCTTGATATCGTAAAAGCCGACCGAACCAGGAGACTGCCCATAATGCACGTAACACCGTTGACCCAGTTTTGACATGCTAAACCCCCTCATCCTTCAACGCAACCACTTAACGCTTCTTTTGCTGGGACTCCTTGAGCACCTTCTTAACGACCTTCTGCTCCTCGATCAGGAAAGCACGGACAATGCGATCCTGAACGCAGTTGGCGCATCGCGATCCACCGTAGGCGCGCTGGACGGTCTTCTTGGGGCGGGAAACTTGGGCGTACTCGCGGGGGCGGAGGGCGGGAACACCCTGGAGCTTGGTACCGCAGTCCTGGCAATCGTCAATAACACGCCTTGGCGCCATGTCAATTCAACTTACACCGCACTTGGGGGCAGTGCCCTTCTTCTTGATGTGCAGGTAACGGAGCTCACCACCGGGAGTCCTGACAATGCGGACCTTCTGGCTCTTGGTGTTGTATGGCGCACGTCGCCTCTGCCCAGATGTCAGCCTTCAATTCCGAATTTCCTCTTGAGCCCTCTCAATCGCCGGGCCTAGCTCTCGAGGTTGCGGTGCGACGTACGTAGGTGAGTCTGTTGGAAGGCATCGTGATGAATTTCCCGGGGAGTCAGTGGGTAATTGTCTGCAGTGATGTGAGCGATGTCGTCTCCGAGGTGGCGTGGCGCGTCGGAAAATTTCGTACCTGAGTCTGGACAAGAATTAGTATGGGACAATAGCTGCCAGCACGTTGTCGATGAAACTTACCACTGGGGTGCTGTGTCGTTAGTGATCGGACGTCGAGAGGTCAAAATTCCGGTGTTCTGCAATTCTCGCTTACCAGGCCCTGGCGCTAGTGGGCTAGGCAGGAGCTAGCGTGCGGCGACCCACCGCTGTGTCACGTGCCCGCGTTGCTGTCTGCAGATGTCGCGAAGACAAAAGTTCATGCACGCCACTAGCGATCCATCTCCATCACCTCACCCACACAACGCGCGGGGTCATATCTCTGCATCGCGTGCGCCGCCTCCCTTTCGACTTTCGAGGAATTGGAGGTTATCGTTGAACGGGCGCGCCGACGCGACTTTTCCCTTCTTCGACCGCGGCGTTGTCCGCAAAGCTCAGGACTAGACTCCTAAGCTTGTCGCGACCTGTGCTCAGCCGACTCGTGCAGTACAGTGCTGTGCCAGAGTTGTTTTCTTAAAGGTTGGCGAATCTCCCGTTCCTCGTTTTACAGTGCTCGCCAAATACAGCAAGGAGCTGCTAGAGACCTAGCTATCATCCTTTCACCCCCGACACTCTCAGCGCGGACACATTCGAATCGCGCCCAGAAGCTCTATCTGACAGCAGCAGCCTTTTATACCCTACAGTAATCAAGATGGATTTCCCTCCGCCCCCTCCACCACCTCCTCCACCGGGCCCTCCTCCCCCAGGCCCTCCAGGTTCTGGATATGCGCCGCCACCTCCGCCGCCGCCACCTCCAGGCGCACCTGGTACCGTCGGACCTGGTACCGTCGGACCTCCGGGTATGCGCCCACCAGTCGACCCACAAATCACCAAGTTTGCCCAGAAGAAGAAGGACTGGTTAAGACAGCAGCGTCAAAGGTTCGGCGAAAAGCGCAAGGCTGGCTTTGTGGAGACGCAGAAGGCGGATCTCCCCCCAGAACATTTGCGCAAGGTCTTCAGGGATATTGGTGATGTATCTCAGAAGAAGTTCACTTCAGACAAGCGAAGCTATCTCGGTGCGCTAAAGTTCATGCCACATGCTGTTCTGAAGCTCCTCGAGAACATGCCCATGCCCTGGGAGAGTAGACGTGATGTAAAAGTCCTCTACCACACCAATGGGTGCTTGACGCTGGTGAATGAAGTTCCCCGTGTGATTGAGCCCGTATTCCACGCGCAATGGGCTGCCATGTGGTTGGCTATGAGAAAGGAGAAGAGTGACCGCCGACATTTCAAGCGAATGCGTTTCCCACCCTTTGACGATGAAGAGCCTCCTCTGTCGTACTCGGAGAACATTGAGGATGTGGAGCCTTTGGAACCCATCCAGTTGGAACTCGACGAGGACGAGGATAGCCCTGTGTATGAATGGTTCTATGACCACCGGCCGCTTCTCGACACTCCACATGTGAATGGTCCTAGTTACGAGACTTGGAATCTGGATCTCCCTCAGATGGCGACTCTATATCGCTTAAGCAAACAGCTTCTCAGCGAAGTTGTTGACAAGAACTACTTTCACATGTTTGATCTAGACAGCTTCCAGACTGCAAAGGCCCTGAATGTTGCGATACCCGGAGGCCCTCGCTTTGAGCCCCTGTATAAGGATATTGATCCGAATGACGAGGACTTTGGCGAGTTCAACGCAATCGACCGTATCATCTTCCGATCCCCCATCCGAACCGAATACCGTGTATCATACCCATACCTTTACAACTCGCTACCTCGAAGTGTCAAGCTGGCTTGGTACTCGTATCCGCAGGTTGTCTACGTCCGCGCAGAAGATCCGGATCTACCAGCCTTCTACTTCGATCCTGTAATCAACCCTATTTCTTCCAGAGCTGTTGCTCCGAAGAACTTGTCCGTAAGCCACGAGGATATGGTTTTTGGGGATGCCGACGAGGACGACGAGGACGATTTCCAGATGCCCGAAGACGTGGAGCCATTCATGGCTGATGAGGATCTTTCTACACCAGATACTGCTTCCGCCATTGCGCTTTGGTGGGCACCTCATCCGTTTGACAAGCGATCAGGTCGCATGGTCAGAGCGCAGGATGTTCCCCTGGTCAAGCAATGGTACCTCGAACACGTACCTGCAGACCAGCCAGTCAAAGTCAGGGTCTCCTACCAGAAGTTGCTGAAGACATATGTTCTCAACGAACTGCACAAGAAACCACCTCAAGCACAAAACAAGCAAAACCTTATGAGGACATTGAAGAGCACCAAGTTCTTCCAACAGACCAAGATTGACTGGGTCGAGGCCGGTCTGCAGGTGTGCCGCCAGGGTTACAACATGCTGAACCTGCTCATCCACCGGAAGAACTTGACTTATCTGCATCTCGACTACAACTTTAACTTGAAGCCGGTCAAGACTCTTACCACCAAGGAGCGAAAGAAGTCACGTTTCGGAAATGCTTTCCATCTGATGCGTGAAATCTTGAGATTGACGAAGCTCATTGTTGATGCTCAGGTGCAATATCGTCTAGGCAACATTGACGCCTTTCAGCTTGCCGATGGCATCCTGTATGCCTTTAACCACGTTGGTCAACTGACCGGTATGTACCGTTACAAGTATAAGCTCATGCATCAGATTCGATCCTGCAAGGACCTGAAGCATTTGATCTACTACCGATTCAACTCTGGCCCAGTGGGTAAGGGTCCTGGATGTGGTTTCTGGGCTCCTGCCTGGAGAGTTTGGTTGTTCTTCATGCGAGGTATCATCCCTCTGCTTGAGCGCTGGCTAGGCAACTTGCTTTCACGTCAGTTTGAAGGCAGACACAGCAAGGGTGTCGCAAAGACTGTCACCAAGCAACGAGTAGAATCACACTTTGATCTCGAGCTTCGTGCAGCCGTCATGAGCGATCTCATGGACATGATGCCTGAAGGAATTAAGCAGAACAAGGTCAACACCGTCTTGCAGCATCTTTCGGAAGCATGGCGTTGCTGGAAGAGTAACATTCCCTGGAAGGTTCCTGGTTTGCCAGCGCCTATCGAAAACATCATCTTGCGCTATGTCAAGAGCAAGGCTGATTGGTGGATCTCAGTCGCCCATTACAATCGTGAGCGCATTCGACGAGGTGCAACTGTTGACAAGACTGTTGCTAAGAAGAACCTGGGACGATTGACTCGTCTGTGGCTCAAGGCCGAACAGGAGCGCCAGCACAACTACATGAAGGATGGTCCTTATGTTTCGTCCGAGGAGGCTGTTGCCATTTACACGACCATGGTACATTGGCTCGAAGCCAGAAAGTTCCAACCGATTCCTTTCCCCAGCGTCTCATACAAACACGACACCAAGATTCTGATTCTAGCGTTGGAGCGTTTGAGGGAAGCTTACTCTGTCAAGGGTCGTCTCAATCAGAGCCAGCGTGAAGAGTTGGCGCTCATCGAGCAGGCATATGACTCTCCTGGAACAACACTGGCTAGGATCAAGCGCTTCCTGCTTACGCAACGTGCGTTCAAGGAAGTTGGTATCGATATGAACGACAACTACAGCAGCATCAACCCTGTATACGACATTGAGCCAATGGAGAAAATCACGGATGCATATCTTGATCAATACTTGTGGTACCAAGCCGATCAGCGACACCTGTTCCCGGCTTGGATCAAGCCTTCAGACTCTGAAGTTCCCCCTCTCTTGACATACAAATGGGCACAGGGTATCAACAATCTTGATCAAGTCTGGGAGACCAAGGATGGCGAATGCAACGTCATGATCGAAACTCAGCTATCGAAGGTCTACGAGAAGATTGATTTGACAATGCTCAACCGATTGTTGCGCCTCATCATGGACCACAACCTGGCAGACTACATCACAGCCAAGAACAACGTACAGCTCAACTACAAGGATATGAACCACGTCAACGCTTATGGTATGATTCGTGGCCTACAGTTCTCTGGATTCGTGTTCCAGTACTATGGTCTTGTCTTGGATATTCTGCTGTTGGGCTTGCAGCGTGCGAATGAGATCGCTGGCGCTCCTGAGAGTCCTAACGACTTCTTGCAGTTCAAGGACAAGGAGACTGAGGTCCGCCACCCCATTCGTCTCTACACAAGGTACATTGACCGCATCTGGGTCTTCTTTAGGTTCACCGCCGAGGAGTCGCGAGACTTGATCCAGCGATTCTTGACTGAGAACCCCGATCCCAACTTTGAGAATGTCATCGGCTACAAGAACAAGAAGTGCTGGCCGCGTGATTCCAGGATGCGATTGATGCGCCACGATGTGAACCTTGGTCGCGCCGTCTTCTGGGATCTCAAGAACCGACTGCCGCGGTCAGTTACGACCATTGAATGGGATGACACCTTTGCCAGTGTCTACAGTCGCGACAACCCCAACCTGCTCTTTTCCATGAATGGTTTCGAAGTCCGCATCCTTCCCAAGATCCGAAACTTGACTGGTGAATTCCCCGTCAAGGACAGTGTCTGGTCGCTTGTCGACAATTCCACGAAAGAACGCACCGCCGACGCCTTTTTGCAAGTCACAGAGGAAGACATCCAGAAGTTCAACAACCGCATCCGACAGATTCTGATGTCTTCAGGATCCACCACCTTTACGAAGATTGCTAACAAGTGGAACACAACGCTTATTGCGCTCTTTACGTACTACCGTGAAGCTGCAGTATCAACTGTCAACTTGCTCGACACCATTGTCAAGTGCGAGACCAAGATCCAGACTCGTGTTAAGATTGGATTAAACTCGAAGATGCCATCGCGTTTCCCTCCTGCAGTGTTTTACACGCCCAAGGAGTTGGGTGGTTTGGGCATGATATCTGGCTCACACATTCTCATTCCGACAAGTGACAAGCGATGGTCCAAGCAGACCGATACTGGAGTCACGCACTACCGTGCAGGTATGTCTCACGACGAAGAGACGCTCATTCCAAACATCTTCCGATACATCATTCCGTGGGAATCAGAGTTCGTTGACTCGCAGCGCGTCTGGATGGAATACTCACAGAAGCGTCAAGAAGCACAACAACAAAACCGACGACTGACTCTTGAGGATTTGGAAGACAGCTGGGACCGTGGTCTCCCTCGTATCAACACGTTGTTCCAAAAAGATCGTAGTACGCTCAGTTTCGACAAGGGTTTCCGCGCCAGGACCGAATTCAAGATCTACCAGCACATGAAGAGCAATCCTTTCTGGTGGACGAGCCAAAGACACGATGGAAAACTGTGGAATTTGAATCAGTACCGTTCGGACTGTATCCAAGCGTTGGGTGGTGTGGAAACCATTTTGGAACACACACTCTTCAAGGCAACTGCTTTTCCATCATGGGAGGGCCTCTTTTGGGAGAAAGCTTGTCTTGCTAATGGCACGAGACTTCTTCGGTATGATGGTTCCGAAGTCCTGGTCGAGGATGTTAAGGAGGGGGATCTATTGTTGGGTCCGGATGGAACTTCTCGTCGTGCTTTCAACATTGTCAATGGCACCGAACAACTGTATCGCATCAAGGTTGGAGGAAAGAAGGAAGATTTTGTGGTCACCAAGAATCACATCCTGGTTCTCCATTTAGAGAAGAAGTCTGGGAATGAGTACCAGGGTATGAGTATGAAAGATCACCACGGCAGGTTTTCGGCACAACTGGATGATCTGCCCGAACCAAGCTCTGACCCTGCTGCTGCAGACAGACCTAACAATTTAGTGAAGGCTCGTGCAGACTTCACTTCTGCATTCAAGAGCGCGCTTTCCTGGTTGTTAAAGGCTGAGCGTGGTAAAAAAGGAGCCGAAACCGTACGGAACACCCTCAATGGCACTACCGGAATTACTACAAGGGATGAATCCTACATTGTGAACATCCCGGTTGGAAGGGGTTCCCGGGCTGAGTATGCTACCTTTGCATGGGGCAATCCGAACCGCACGAACATCCAAGGTCACGCGAACCACCCACCAGTTTTCTTCGGAACCAAGGACCTCGCTTTTGCTGCCGCTGTAGCAAAGAGCCGGGAGATTCACGAACAGAGCGATATCACTCTTGCGAACCTACGTCAAAGGTTTGAAGAGAAGTCTGCCAGTGGTAGGGGTGGAGAAATCCGCCTTGACTCTGGCCTCCCGAACATGTTTCTTCTCTGGAACAAGAATGGCTCTGATCTCAAGATTCGGGTTTATTGTTCGCGCAACTACAAGAAGTATGGGCGGTCCTATTCTTTCCCGGCTCTCCCCAACGAGGATGCAAGCTGCATTCAGGATTCTGAAGACGAGGAAGAAGATCCTTTGTTCCTGGATATGGAAAAGCCTGAAGTTTCAGCATCTGAGCGTTATGATGTTGTTGAAATGACTGCCGAGGAATTTGCTGCTTTGGAACCCAACGTACAGGCGAAGTATAGGGTGTTCCGATGTCCCGGATTTGAGCTCCCTGAAGAAAATGTACCGGTCCATCCCTATTTCCTCGGACTCTGGCTGGGTGATGGCAACCGGAACAGTACTACTATCTACAACGAACATGAGGCTGAAGTTCGTGACTTCCTGGTCTCCTATGCGGCTGAGCTAGATCTTCACCTCGTTTGGCATGGGCAGTTAGGCTATGCTACCGTGGGCCGGACTCGCCTTGCTGACCGTCCTTTTCCAACAAAGAACAAGGGGAAAGGCCCTGTAAATTCGGAAACCCGGAAATCTCGCCAGACCATCAACAAGACGCGTCTTGCTGCTGGTTGGTCTTTCCAAGAAAATCGTCAACCTGGTGAGGCCAGGCTTTGGGTGCCTCCTGAAAATACAACTCAATCCAGTACTCAAGGTGGTCAGAAACGGGAGCGTAGTTCGACCCTTTGTTCCTCACCGGAACGTCGCCAGCGCCCTCGTCAAGAGCCTACCGTTCCTTCATCGTCTTCTCTTCCTCAGCCAGCTTCATCAACTGGTATGGGAGATGTTCCGGAACCTACTTTCCGGCTCATGGCAAGCTCTATACCCGCAGAGCCACTATCCCAAATTCTTTCTGAAGACGAACTGGTGGGCATTGCTGGCCCTGCATTTGTTCCGGAAGATGCAACAGCCCCTGAGCCTGATGCAGATGAGGTATGTAAAGACGTTCTCTACAAAAATGAAATTCTAATATGTTCGCAGGACCAGGAACTAGACGAGGACCTCGACCTGATTGAGATTGAAAGTGAGGACGAAGAAGAAGAGGAGGAGGAGGAGGAGGAGGAAAAAGGCAGTGATGATATCCAGTTCCTCAACGAGGATCTTGGACGCCATCCATCCCGGTTTGAACGTCACCGTATTGCACGTTTAGAAGCTGGTCGCAGTACCTATGGTCGACTCCGTCCTGAGGAAGAAGCCGAACTCATCAACGATCTTGTTGAGTATGACGAAAACGACGATGGTGTCAACAGCCTTCGAACCGCACTTCAGGGGCTTGGGGTTATGTCTGGCGGTGCAACTGGTCCCGGGGCCGATCGAAAACATATCCCATCAGTATACCTTAGGAACTGCCGAGCAGTTCGCCTGGCTGTTCTTGCCGGTTTGATTGACAGCGATGGATGGCTGGTTTACCCTGAAAACTTCATAGGCTTCAGCCAGAGCGAACGATGGCATAAAGCACTTTTCTGGGATACTGTGGCCTTAGCACGATCTTTGGGCTTTGGTGTCTGGACTACTAAACGGGATATGTGGAATCCGACTCGAACTCAGAAGAATCCTCAACTGGTCGCTCAAATTTTCGGGAACATTTCCGAGATACCATGCCTTCTTGCACGAAAAAAGGGGTGCGAACGCTACATTCCCCAAATGCACAGCTTCATGATCAAGGAAATTGCCCTGGAATCTACTCCTACTGCTTGGTCCGGCTTCCGAGTTGACAAGGATCAACTTTACCTACGACACGACTACATGGTACTTCATAACAGTGGTTTTGAAGAATCTATGAAGTTTAAAAAGCTCACAAACGCTCAGCGTTCTGGTTTGAATCAGATTCCAAACCGTCGCTTCACTTTGTGGTGGTCACCCACCATAAACCGCGCAAACGTCTACGTAGGTTTCCAGGTGCAACTTGATCTTACGGGCATCTTCTTGCACGGTAAGATTCCTACTCTTAAGATATCGCTCATCCAAATCTTCCGAGCCCATTTGTGGCAGAAGATTCACGAATCGGTTGTTATGGATTTGTGCCAAGTCTTTGATCAGGAGCTTGAGGCTCTTGGCATCGAGACAGTGCAAAAGGAGACGATCCATCCTCGTAAATCGTACAAGATGAACAGCTCCTGTGCCGATATCCTACTTTTTGCGAGCCACAAGTGGAGTGTTTCTCCACCCTCCATGTTGTACGATACCAAGGACACTATGAGCGCGACGACTACCAACAAGTTTTGGATTGACGTTCAGCTACGATATGGTGACTACGATTCGCACGACATTGAACGATATGTGCGCGCAAAGTACCTCGACTATACCCAAGACAGCATGAGTATCTACCCTTCTGCAACTGGTCTCATGATCGGTATTGATTTGGCATACAATCTCTACTCTGCCTACGGACAGTACTTCCCTGGACTCAAGCAGCTCGTTCAGCAAGCGATGGCCAAGATCATGAAGGCCAACCCAGCTCTCTATGTTCTCCGAGAGCGTATCAGGAAGGGTCTCCAGTTATATGCTTCGGAAAGTTCTCAGGAATTCCTCAACTCTCAGAACTACTCGGAGCTGTTCAGCAATCAGATCCAGCTGTTCATTGATGATACGAACGTGTATCGTGTGACAATCCACAAGACTTTCGAGGGTAACTTGACGACTAAGCCCATCAACGGCGCCATCTTCATCTTCAACCCTCGTACTGGTCAACTGTTCTTGAAGATAATTCACACAAGTGTTTGGGCTGGTCAGAAGCGTCTCGGTCAGTTGGCCAAATGGAAGACTGCCGAAGAAGTGGCAGCTCTCATTCGGTCACTGCCTGTTGAAGAACAACCGAAGCAGCTGATTGTCACCCGTAAGGGTTTGCTCGATCCTCTGGAAGTGCACTTGCTTGACTTCCCCAACATCTCTATTCGGGCATCAGAGCTGCAGCTGCCATTCCAAGCTGCTATGAAGGTGGAGAAACTCGGTGACATGATCTTACGAGCCACTGGACCTCAGATGGTTCTCTTCAACCTGTACGATGAATGGTTGAAGACGATTTCATCATACACTGCTTTCTCGAGATTGATCTTGATCCTCCGCGCGCTTCATGTCAACCAGGACAAGACCAAGCTGCTCTTGCGACCTGACAAGACGGTCATCACCCAGGAGCATCACATCTGGCCTTCACTAACGGACGAGGACTGGATCAAAGTTGAAGTGCAACTTCGTGATCTCATCCTGCTCGACTACGGCAAGAAGAACAATGTCAACACTTCGTCACTCACCAGCAGTGAAGTGCGTGATATCATTTTGGGTATGGAGATTTCAGCGCCATCGATGCAACGTCAACAAGCTGCCGAGATCGACAAGCAGCAGGAGGAGCAGCAGCAATTGACTGCCGTCACCACGAAGACGCAGAACATCCACGGCGAGGAGATGGTTGTTACAACAACTTCGCAGTATGAACAGGCTTCCTTCGCCTCCAAGACAGAATGGCGTACCAGGGCTGTTGCCACGTCCAACCTGCGTACTCGTGCCAACAACATCTACATCAACTCTGAAGATGTCAAGGAGGAAGGCCACTTCACCTATGTCATGCCAAAGAACGTACTCAAGCGATTCATCACCATTGCCGATCTTCGCGTTCAAGTTGCGGGCTACCTCTATGGCAAGTCGCCACCAGACAATGATCAGGTGAAGGAGATTTGCACCATTGTCATGATCCCTCAAGTTGGTAACACACGTGACGTGCAGCTGCCAAAGGAGCTGCCGAGGCACGAGTATCTCGACAATCTAGAGCCGCTGGGAATTATCCACACCGTCAGCGGAAATGAGCCGCCGTACATGCAGGCTAGCGATGTTACCCAGCATGCTCGTCTGATGAACCAGCACGCTAGCTGGGATAAGAAGACTGTTTCCATGACCGTGTCCTTTACCCCCGGTTCCGTCTCCCTCGCCGCCTGGGCCCTTACACCCAACGGCTACAAGTGGGGCGCTGAGAACAAGGATACTATGTCCGACAACCCCGCCGGCTTCAGCACAAGCTTCGGTGAGAAGTGTCAGTTGCTACTGTCTAACAAGATTCGCGGATACTTCTTGGTTCCTGACAATGGCATCTGGAACTACAGCTTCATGGGCAGTGCATTTGGTTCTGTCGAGAAGAAGCCCGTGCATGTGCGTCTTGATACCCCCGTTCGCTTCTACGACCCCGTGCACAGGCCGCTGCATTTCCATAACTTTGCGGAGCTGGAGGATGTTTGGGTTGATCGGGAGAACCAGTTTGAGTAGATGTGGGAATATGGTGCTAGTTGGAGATGGGATGAGAAGAAAATGAGGATGAGCGTTAGTCAGATCACATCGCATTATATCTTTTTTGGGCGTTTTGAGGTCCAAGGGCGTTCACTTGCACTTGTGGATGAATGCATTTGTAGGAGGGGTCGATGAATCAGGGACAAAATGTGCATAGTGTATTATAATCTTTTCAGCGAATTATATTCTTGAGCCGAAAGAAATTGTGCAGTTGTCAAGTTGTGATCTAGTTCGTGCCTATGGTCGTGTTTTTAGCTACGTGTGATCTTTTTGGCTTTTATTCGCACAAAGGCTTTCTCTCTCAATTCTTTCGATTGTATTTGATTTCATTAAGCCTACCATAATGCAAGCTTTGGCAATAGAACATTTCACTGCAATACTGAAAGAGTGTTCACTACAAAGTCGATCAAGGGCGAATAAAGTGAGTCCTTCTAATCGGGATAAATTGATCCGTCAACATGGTCTCCGTCACACAAGGTAGGGCGCGAGCTTTCTGCAAGTGATACTATTCTAAAGCACTGAAACAACGCCAGGCCTGCACCGTGACGCTGGGGCTATGGAGAACAATGCGGGAAAGGATGTGCATCCCAGTAATGGAAAGGCTGTAGTCATGGATTGTTCCATTGCATGTGTTGGGGCACCTGTGGGATGTGACCTATTTGATCACGCGATCCGTAATACCGTCGGTTGGAATAAGGCTGGTGACTGTGCATCTGGTGATCGGATAGCTGCTGGTCTTGCAGTTGAGGTGGCTATTTTGATCTACCTATCAGCGCAAAGATGTTAGCTATTGACAGATACGAAATCGGCAGTTGTTGGTTTATCTCTGACCCGAAGTCAACAGTGTATGGGCTTCAGTATGCCTTAAAGTTGCCACAACTTTTTGACGGGTTGATCCTTTGCTGTTTACTGTTTACTGTGTGCTGTTCGCTGAGACATGGTTTGTCTATATTCGTCGAGTACCACCTTTCCCATAGAATTTTTCCCGTCTATATTTATTTAGTACGGCTCCTCATATGAAACAGTGTCCAGATGCACACCCCGCTTTACTTTGACAACATTGGAGTCTGGAATCCGGGTTGGTGGGACTTCGGTGGACGTTCTATCCTCGATCCCCACACAACGCTACTATGCCCCCCTCCCAGCGCACCTTTAGTTCCATTGAACATTAACCGCTGCTTCCTCACCATCCAAAGGACACCATCACAACTACGCCCCATCCACAATCATGCCGCCCGTGTTCGTTTGTAGAAGGAGGCATGTAATAACAAAACGCTTATCCCAACCGCCCCGAGACCAAGCCCTTGGCCCGCATGGATAAAGTAGTCTATCATCCAGTCGATTGTCTCGTGAAGGGTACCTTAGGGAGGCTAATGCGCAATCAGTAGGTGACAAGAGCAAGAAACGGGGAACACCTTGGCACTACGGCCCCTCGCAGAAGCTTTGACTTGCGTTATCTTTTTCTTGTTTAGCACCGCTTGGCATCTCTTCTTTGAACCTTTCCGCCGCGCCAATCCAACGCCCAGCCCCGTCCCTCATTCCTATGTTATCTCCATGATGCGTCTTACAACGGGCTTGGGAGCCTTCAACAGCGCGCTTAATCGCGGCAGCATGCCTGATAGTTTGCACCAGAATCCTTCGACCGGACTAGCCGAGCTGCCGTGGGTCATGGGTACCATTTCTGGATGCAATGGCTATGATAACACGGGCTAGATGTGAGCAGGAGGCGAATTCCATAGTGGAATGCTCTGATTGTCGCGTGCCACCCATGCAAAAGTCTGGTCTAATGCTCCGAGGTGTAGTTTCGCTTGTCGCTATATGAAGGAGCACATGTACCCATCCCTCGACTCTAGGTCTACCGCTCGTTGTGTTACTTCACTTCTGCGAGTCTCGCGCTTTTGCACTTTTGCTTTTGCAGACCAGCCACTGGTCCGTCTCACGGCGCAATGGCGACCACTACAGATGTCAAGGCGTCTCTTGAGATCACCAAGGGAGCGACCATGACGACTGATCCCATTCCTTTCGATACGGATTCCATGTCAAGCGGCACCAATGCCTTTCCGTACCCTACTGAAGAAGAATGGGCCACTCTCCCCAGGGTCGCCGGCAAGATCCCATGGCAAGCTTGGACTGTTGCTGTTGTCGAGTTTGTCGAGCGCTTCAGTTACTACGGTACCAGCGCTGTCTTCGTCAGTAAGCTTAAACCAAGTTACATACGTTAATTGATTACAAACTTTGCTAATTGCAATCGATAGATTTCATCCAGAAGCCCTTGCCCCCGGGTTCAGTTACAGGCGCTGGATTTCTCAAGAAGCCTGGTTCTGGTAAAGTCTAACTTTATGGAAGCGAATGAATTATTTTACTAACTCCTTACAGGAGCGCTCGATATGGGTCAGCGTGCCAGTACGGGACTGACTATGTTCAACCAGTTTTGGTCTTACATCACACCTCTTGGAGGTGCCTGGCTTGCTGATGAGTACTGGGGACGCTACAAAACCATCCAGTACTCCAACATCATTGCTATCATCGGTCACATCGTCCTCATTCTGTCTGCAATTCCTCCGGTCATCGTAAAGCCCAAAGTCGCCATCTCCATTTTTTCGGTTGGTCTCGTAATCATGGGCGTTGGCACTGGTGGGTTCAAGAGTAACATCTCGCCCCTAATCGCAGAGCAATACAAGAACCAGAGGGCTTATGTCCGCGTTCGCAAGAACGGACAGAAAGAAATTGTCTGCCCTGCGGTTACTTCGGCACGCATTTATCTCTATTTTTACTTCCTCATCAACTGTGGTTCTATCACCGGATCCATTGCCATGGTCTACACAGAGCACTTCCACTCTTTCTACCTGTACGTTCCCTCTTCTTTGTAACTCATTATACATCCACTAACGATAATTACAGGGCGTACACACTTCCCACAATCTGCTACCTCCTTTGCCCAATTATCCTAATCGCGATGAAGAAGCACTACAAGCTCGCGCCACCTACCGGATCCGTCATGGGCAAAGCCTTCAAGCTTATCAGATTCGGCATCAAGAGCTCTCCTCGCAAGAACACGTTCAAGGATGATGGTTTCTGGGAGAGGATCAAACCATCCGTTCTTCGCCGCAACAATCAACCCGTCCCAGATTGGATGACTTTTGACGATGCCTGGGTTGATGAAGTAAAGAGAGGAATTCTTGCTTGCAAGGTTTTCGTCTGGTTTCCGCTGTACTGGTTGTCGTACAATCAGATGACGGGCAACCTTGTTTCTCAGGCAAACACGATGAATTTGGGTAACGTCCCAAACGACATCATCTCAAAGCTGAACCCCCTGTTCATCATCATCCTGATTCCAATTATGGACTTCGTCATCTACCCCGGTCTACAGAAGGCAGGCATTGTTTTCTCGCCTATCAAGAAGATCACAGCTGGATTTGCGCTTAGTTCATTCGCTATGGTGTCCGCTTGTGTTACCCAGCATTACATCTACAAGATGTCCCCATGTGGAGACAACATCAACGCTCTCAGCAAGACACGCAAGGACTGCAACGCCGACATCACCGTCTGGGTCCAGGTCGTGCCATACGGTCTGATTGGCTTTTCCGAGATTATGGCATCCATCACCAAGCTTGAGTACGCCTACACCAAGGCCCCTAGCAACATGAAGTCAACCATTCAGGCTATCGCCCTATCCACTTCTGCATTTTCCGCCGCGCTGGGCCAGGCTTTTGTCAGTTTGTCTGAAGATCCTCTGCTGGTATGGAACTACGGTTCCGTCGCTGTTGTTGCCATGTGTGGTGGCATTGGTTTCTGGATGACTTTCCGCAAGGCCGATAAACAGGAAGACGCACTGAACAACATGAAGGAAAGCAACTTTATGGGCGGCAGGGAGATTGGCGATGCCGAGAAAGTCGATACTTTGAGCGTACGCGACGAGAAGAACGAGAAGAGCGGATTGTAGATACCACCATGACTTCGAGGACGGGAAGGACTGGACCATTACTTATGAGAATAATATCACGAACAATGAAGTCTCTATCGACTTCTGACAATTGTCTCTTGCTCCCGTATATTGAATCTCTATCTGAAATTTGATTACGCGCTCTTGTCAACCTTTCCCAAAACATGAGATTTTGTGCATATCCAAATCTTTACATCATCATGACCATCCGATAAAGCATGAACCCCTCCTGTTTCGGTCTAGCGTCTCCGCCGACCCTCGGCACGTACCCGCGGCTCCACCTGTCAATCGATCTTGTACTACGTACCCCACGCCCGCCCTTAGCGTCGTCACCCCAAAAAACATAAACTCGATCGTTGTACCAGTACCACGGATCATAAAGGTGCAGCGGGCTGCAGAAACTACTGCTGCTGCTATCCGATATTCCGCACGCTATCCCCGAAGCAAATATATACATATGTATAAAAGGGCAAGCGTTCAAGATCCCAATGCCTCACCCACTCCTCCCAAAGCAGTCCTTGAAGAAAGCTACTACACCTCTGACGTCAACGTCGGTGCAAAATACGGCTGAGTCGCGGGGTGAAGTAGAATTTGACACCGAGCCGCATAAAGCAAAAGGTATGTCGGCGTGTAAGATTGTATGTTGTGTTTTGGTGAATTAGTATTGACACAGTGGTGATAGTAGTCTCGTATAATCCTCTGCTCACGCCGTCGCCTTTTCTAGACCCGGCGGTGGAGCGGAAGAGAACGATGGTGCATCGTGGGGCAGAGAGGGGTTCTGGTGCGAAGTGATCTGTTGTAGGCGGCTGGCATGATGTGTTTTCAAGGCCTTTTTCATTTTAGATTTATCTTAGTCATAGGTCCGTCGATAACACTTAAAGCAGTAGGTTCAAATTCGTAGTTAGATTAGTGTGGTTCTGTATCTCTATCTATCATTTCTGACCCTACTCCAAATGATCTACTCTAAGTGATATCTAGAGGAATAAAGGTGCTATAACCCAAAATGAACATACGGGGCCCAATAATGCGGGTGCAATTTATTCCCTTGCTTTGCCAGTCTACTGACTAGTTCAGCCGTCCGCATGTTTGAGGTAATAGAAGCCTTATTGTCACCACCTAGATCTATTGAAGTTTCGTTAACCGTTTGTGAGCCATCGGTAGTTGTAACCTAAATTCATCAGTCACTGTACACTAAACGATGTTCGAACCCTTACTTTGGTAGTATCCACACTCGTCTTTGTCAAAGATGATTCCACTTTGACAGGTGTGCCAATAGTCCTGTTCCTTAGAGTCATCGTTGCCCTATGAAGACCAAGACACACCACGTCGTCTGAAATCCCTTCATCCCTCAAAGTCTCATAGAAAATTCTTGCATTATCAACGCAGTATTCGTCCTGGACCTTATCGTAGATTCTGACTGCTCGATGAAGATCGCGGAAGTCTGCATTCTGCTTACAGAAGCGCTGCATGCACTTTATCCAAACCTCCCATAGCTTTTTAGCTAACATCTCATCCTCCAGGTATTTTCTTAACGAGAAGCGTATCCATGACAAAATTTTCATGAGTTGATCTACAATTTTGATGTTTTCAGTAGCTAGGAATCTGGCGGCATGGCGTTCTACAAGGCCAAGGTACCAGGAAACGACCATAGGGTTGTTAGGAAAATAGTTTTGCCAATGGTCAATTCCCTCTACGATATCGTCCAAACTATCAGTTACTTCAAGATCACTGTCTGGATATCGAGCAATGTGAGTATTAGTTGACACGACATGCCACCGTCGACTTTGTCCGAGTTCTAGTAGCGTGATCCAAAGTGTACGCAGTGGTTCGACGATCTGTTCAAACAGCCCTCTATCATAGGGCCTATCAAGCATTGCCTCTAGTTCTAGATCGAGGCGTCTGAACCTTGCAGATATTTCTTTGTAATTGTGACGGTTGGATATCATCGAGCATTCCACAAATGCCTTGATAGCTTGTACCATATCTTCGGTACTTGATTCGAATTTTGCTCGCTTCATAATATCTTTCGAATGCTTAGATCAGTCCTATTATCAACAGTATATGAGATCGAGTCTCTGCTGGAACATCTTGGCGCATTCAGCTACTTCGAAGCAATCCGGAATCATGCCGAAACGACCAAATAGATCAAAAAGTTCCAAATCACGGCTGAGAGCGTCAGTAACTGCACGGCTCGTCAAAATGGAATGCTACAACTCGGTGAATTTAATCACATCAGTACACGTGTCCAGAATCTTTCCAGCGCACCATTATATTTTGCAATCCCGAACCTTACTTCGTGTTGGGAAATCGTGAACATACTATCAGAAGGAGAAGGAATATTCATAGTCATTCCACCTTATGAAGTGGATGAATGCGAGTTAGAGATGGAGATTCCAGAAGAATTGAAGGCGCAAAACGTTCCTACCAGGATGTCCTACAGATATTCATCACTAGCCAACCAACCTCATTCGCTTCCCAGCTCCTTCCAAAGCTGACCGGTCGCAGCAATGGCTCCCGCTCGAGCATGGCAGAGTACATCAAAAGAATACGAAATTCGATTCATTAGCTCGCAGATTCGAATCGGAATCTGTCACGAAATACCGAGTATTGATCGACTCAAGACTTTATTGTAAAAACTTCTTGTAGCGCATAGTACAGAGCGAGCTTGAGAAATGAAATTGTTAACCAGGCAATAGAGATTCCCCCATAAACTTCTTTCCGCCAAGAGCAGTCGTTCCTTATCCATCGTTGAGGCATATTGTATATTGTCTCATCCCAGTATCAAAGGTTTCGACAAGGTAGGGCCCATCTTTTGCTGTTTCGGACAATTTGATGAATACTCGATCCTCAGGTTCAAAGGAAGGACTCTGTCAAAGTTAAAGGCAGTTTTCCGACATGAGTTTCAGTCGTACGTACGCTGGTGCCCTGTTTGATCCATGGGCGTATAGGCTTGTCATCAACTACAAACTGAGACAGCACATCATCCCTAAATAATGCTAAAGCGTTTACAGATGCATGAACGTACGCTTACTCCTCGAGGAGACTCATGGCTATGTATGTCTATAGGTTATGTAGATAGTAGGTGAAGGCGACAACTCCTGCGGAAGTTATGGTCGTGGATAGGATACACGCGCTAGTAATATATAATCCCAGCAGCAGCCTGACTGAAATCTTCAAAAGTTGTCCTCTCGCATTCTGATCAAGAGTCAGAGCGGGGTAATATGCGCGAGGCAGATTTGGATAAAGGATTCGATTGATTAGACGACAAGTGGCCAATAGAAGTAACGAGGGTGATCGGCAGTGCCTAAGAGCTAGAATACGTTGTACTACATCGCATTCCAGCGCTATCTACGCATCTAGGTAGCTGCTTGCAGGCCTTGCCATCATGTGAGATCTCTCTGGAAAAGGAATATATCTTAGTCGATCATTATCATAGTAGTATACCATCTCTAGGTCTATAAGCACCGTGAAGATTGCAAAACGAAACAATGGAGCGGCGAGGCTGAAGGAGCCGGCTGACGACGCCAAAGGGCTGGGTAGACAGACGTGGCAAGGCGAATTCATGCAAGCTATAGCCAACGGTGCCCAGGTGTTCGACGTCTAGTGGCTGCCTATAATAATGCAAGAAGAATACTTTGAAACATCACTCCACGCAGGAACGTAATTTCAAATACTTCTTCCTACACAGGTCAATGTACTAGTTGGAAAGACTTTCTAGGGCAACAACTTTCGGTCATGACACAGATTTATACAGCTACAGATATCGAATTAGCCAGTCCTAGCAACGGAGGAAACTACAGATATCCCGACACTCATTTTTGTATCGCTAATTATCTACAGCATTTACACCAGATATTACAAGCCCGAAACGATACCACTCACTGTTCAACCGCATAAAAGCCCTCTTTAGTTTGAAATCAAACACATGCTCGCATCAGACTGAACGCCAAAGTAATTCGCTCATTTCCAGCAACCCTCGCCCCATACGAGTATCTACTAATTGTCCCTAGTCGAAGACTACCGTTCAGGGCACCCACAACTATCCGCCCTTATCGCCGCAGACAGCTGCTTCCACATTTGCCGCCGTTTCTCCACCGTACGCGCCCGACTTCTGCTACTCAAGCAAGACAAAATATCGTTCCTCGAGCAACAACTTGAAACCACCGATTACGACGAGCAAGCCCCAATATTCCTCAGTTGCAGTCGAACTGGATCAAAACAGCAAAAAGACTTGCCTTGTTAGCCGAACTAGACACAAGATTAGCAGATTATGGTAAATTGCACCATCTATCGTCGTTATCGAGGAAAGAAGAAGAAAACTGTAGTAATTGGGCGGAGAGGTGCTGCTGATGGATAACACTTGGATGCATTTGTGCAACGAGGAAAAGATAATTCTTAGCATTCGCCAACGCATCCCACCGCAGCATCTAGAGTCTGAGAAACTTTCTTAGTAACACTGCGTGTCTCGGTCGCAACGAACGCGAGGTATCTATCCCGAGACCGTGATTTGATGACGCTTGGGCCAGAGAAAGAAGTCGGGCGTGGAGGCATTGGAATGCTGGATTGAAAAAAAATTGCATTATATCTGTGGTTGAGTGTTTTTTTTTAAAAAAGGTTAGGTCACCTATAGCATCGCTCGTTAGCTGTTTTTGATGTCACATTGATTTTTGCGTAATCTTCTCACAAGAAGTACTAAATGGGGGGGGGGG